ATGGAATCATGCATTGTGAGAATTATTTATAATTTGGGCAAATCATATGCTAATGTGACATCAGTGCTTTGTCATATGTAAATATCATAAACAGAGTTCATTACGTGGCCATTTCAAGACATCTGCTTTCAGATCCTGATTGCATTTTATTGACTCACCTCTATTCAAATCCGTTTTTTTGAAACTCAACTCACTTTGGCTTCAGAGATACACGTTACTTTGGCTGTGTATGGGCTAACTTGCCGTAAATTTTAGCTGCTTTGACAATAACCAAGAACTAATTTGCATAATGATGTAACACAATTTAACTGCCATATTTTAAATACCCAGAGTGCTTTGCACAGGCATGACTTCACACATGAGTTACCTGATGTGACCACTATGAGGACACACATTTGTATGTATTTTCTAATGGCTGCTATACTAAAACCTGTGTGGGGACAATAATTTATTTAATTATCTTGGCTTATTTTCCAAAAATACTATTTTAAAAGAAAATCTATTTTTCAGAAGGGACGGGAGTGGTGGCACAACAAAGGCTATCCAAGTTCTTTGGTTCTTTCAGTAAAAGAATATGGATCCTTGCAGTCACGAAAACTTCAAATCTAGAGCTATCCAAGTTCCGTTCCAGGCAAGCCTCTAACATCGGTGGCAAGTTTTATCCGAACCAATCCTGGTCCCCCCCCCCCCACCGGGTGAAACACAGCCAAAGAACACCAACGACTGCCAGGGCATGAAAAGGCTTTTATCCATCAGTGGATTACAAAGGGGCTGTAAATATAATTGATGCATTATTAAGAACTCACATATAACAAGAGCATCTCAACTGCATGTGGATAACCAACGGCAGTGCTAACAATGCTGCTGTGGGTCTTGCTCTGCCATTGAATAACGCTGCAGGGAATAGACCGGGAATGTGGAAACTCTCGCTCTGGGTTTAATGAACAGGTTGAAATTTCCAGCCAAGAGTAGTATAGTCTTGTGTGTTTTCGAATGTGGGGAGTGGTCGCGCAATGGTTTGTGCACTGCGCCGCGAGTTCGGACGTTTGGGTTTGATTCCCATCCGCTGCCTTAAAAAGGAGTTCCTGGCGGAGTGTGTCAAGTTTATTTGTTTGAACAGGTGAGAAATCAGTAAGAGACCAGGACAACCTCAATTGCAAGTGTGACGTGTAAACAGGCAGGCCAGAGAAGTGCTAGCCACACCACCCCCTCGTGCACCATGTCTGCCTCCATATGAACTCGTTAACAGAAGAGCCAACAGTCTGGATCTTCGTCTGTGGGTAAATGCAACCAAAAGTTGTCTGGCAAGTGAGGGCGAGTGCAAAACGTGGCGGGCAGACTTCTAAAATCTCACGCACGGAGCATAATGGACTTTGAAGTTGTAATCCAGATGTTACCAGTTCCATCTCACAGCACGGCAATTGATTTAAAGTTGGACATTCCTCAAATGCCCTCCCCGCCGCCCCCACCTCTCTGCTCTGTCCACCGAGGCAATAGGTTACACGCAGGTCATGCGTGGTGGGGTAAAGTGTGGGTTCGTCCATTTATTTTTTTACGCCTGGACATTGTGGTAAAGTAGACCAAATACCAATTTTAGTGGCAGGAGGAAGATTTTTTTCACATGCTTGAGAATTGCTTACCGAGTAGGGGTGGAATGACAGAGGTCGATTATTTAATTGAATTGCAATCTTGAATGAATAATATTAATCATTTCGATTTAAAGCTTTTGTGACTGCAGGGATTCATCTTTTTGGTTCTTTCGGTAAAGTCACGTAGAAGGGAAGTAATAAAATAATAAAAATAAAACATAATAAAATAATTCTCACGACGTTTTGGCCACAACGCAAGCAGCCGTCCTCAGGTGAAGACCAGGTCTGTCGGGGAGACAGCGTCATTCAGACGCTGTCTCCCAATCATTCAGACGCTGTCTCCCCGTCATTCAGACGCTGTCTCCCCGACAGACCTGGTCTTCACCTGAGGACGGCTGCTTGCGTTGTGGCCGAAACGTCGTGAGAATTATTATATTATGTTTTATTTTTATTATTTTATTACTTCCCTTCTATGTGACTTTACCGAAAGAACCAATAAGAATATGAATCATATTATTGGCGGGGGTGGGCACAACTATTACATAACCATACAAATGCCACTGCAAGCTTAATAAAAAGCTGGTGAGGTTGGTTCACTTTTGGACGCACAACAAATTTTCTGAATAAAAATTGAAAACAGATTTTAACTCGAGACTCCATGCCCCACACAAAGTACAGCTCTTATATAGCAGATGCACGGCTTTGGCTGTGTCACAGGCAGTCACACACAAGTCTCAAGCTTTGATATTGTTAAAGTTAGTCTATATTTGTTATATATAAAAACATAGTATATGTGCCTTACTGTGATTATAAAAAAAAACAAATACTACGTTGGCCGTTCCAGAATATGTGCTTGTTTCTCTCTACACAAGGAACATGAAAGTAAAAAAAATATTGTGCACCTAAAATGTATTTAAAATGTCGACTTAAATGTCATATGTAACCCCAGCCGCCCTTGTAAGCGGCAATATTGTTTCGTGAGTCTCAAATGCTTTAGTTAATTTATTGGCGTGGGTCTCGGTTGCTTTATTTTATTTATTGGTTACATAAGACACAGTACTGTGAATTAACTATCAAAAATATACCTTAAGGCTACGGCTGGGCATTGTATTATTAATAGTCTCTAGTGATGTCAAAACCAATTCGATTCTATTCTTGCGTAGAGTGGAAATATGTTAAGGAGGGCTTCAGGGAAGAGGGCAATTAGTTTTGCTGTTCCTTCACTTCCCTTGAAGAAGTGCCGACTACAGAGTCGTTTACTATAAGGTCCACAGTTTTGGGCTGTATTGGGCACGATCATACGAATGTGGCTAGCCTTAAATGCATTTCCATGCTTATTTACGGGCCTCTGTATCATTGAGCCTCATAGTATCCCTATCGGCCTCCTATACAGTCCAAAGTGTGGGTTGCACGGTCAATGCATTCGTCGCAATGTGCCAATGTGTGCCAGTGGTGGCTTAAGTTACATCACCAGTTATGAAGGGTCGTTGCCCAAAACGTCAGATATTGTAGATTTCGTTGCAACAGTGTTCTTGACGAATGTGTTGATTTTGTTATCTGTGCCATAACTCTTTATTTTTCCTCGTTCACGAAGAGATTTTGCGTGAGAGACCATCGTGTCTGACACACGAGACAGAACAGGTCACGGTACACAAGAGAACATGACGGAAGAGTACATATTGGGCAGAACGGCACGAGACTGAACAGATTATACAAATATAGACGGAACAGCCGGGCAGAACAGATCAAACAGAGGCACATGATACAGGACACAACGAACGATTCAGACAGAACACATTCATAGCTGTCAACACCTTATCAGTGCCCCTACCTTATTACAGACCAATTCAGACCCTATTGGTCACTGATAAATCTCAACCTTCATCCGACAAAGTCCCGTCACAAGGCAGAAACACAAACACGCCGTATGGACATGAAAACTCAATTTCCCTGTACAAGAACACGGGCTACACCGTATGGGTTGGCAGCTGAGCACACGATACGGAGCGAGACAGAGAAAAAGACCGCAGAGCGTAGACACGAGAGACATCGACCATTTGAATGAATCGTGACACCGTCAAATCGTTACCTCGTTGGCATTTGACCCACAGAGTACAGTGCGGTAGTGAGGGGTGCAGCTTGGCACATTGCAAACACGTGGCACATTGCAAACACGTGGCACATTGCAAACACGTGGCACAGTGCAAACACGTGGCACATTGCAAACACGTGGCACAGTGCAAACACGTGGCACTGCTGCTGCTGCTGCACAGCGACACTCAATGGGGGCACATTGACGGCGTGGCACTGTCCATACAGTGCGGACGTGTCCGTACAGTGCGGGCGTGCCCGTACAGTACCGTACTATCTGCACAGTACTGTCCTGTCTGTACAGTGTCGTAACTGTCTACACACTACTGTCGTGTCCGTACAGTGCGGTACTGTCTACACCGTGCTGTCGTGTCTGTACAGTGCGGTACTGTCTACACAGTGCTGTCCTGTCTGTACAGTGTCGTAACTGTCTACACACTACTGTCGTGTCCGTACAGTGCGGTACTGTCTACACCGTGCTGTCGTGTCTGTACAGTGCGGTACTGTCTACACAGTACTGTCCTGTCTGTACAGTGTCGTAACTGTCTACACACTACTGTCGTGTCCGTACAGTGCGGTACTGTCTACACAGTGCTGTCGTGTCTGTACAGTGCCGCACTGTCTACACAGTACTGTCGTGTCTGTACAGTGCGATACTGTTCGTACGGTGCGGTACTGTTCGTGCAGTGCCGTACTGTTCGTGCAGTGCAATACTGTTCGCACAGTGCGGTACTGTTCGTGCAGTGCCGTACAGTGCGGCACTGTTCGCACAGTGCGGTACTGTTCGTGCAGTGCCGTACTGTGCGATGGCGCCCATACATCGCGTGCCAAAACTGCTGCACGTTGCAAGATACGGCGCTAACACATGGCATTGGTGTCGGTGCACGACTGCGTCCATGCCGATGAAGACGATGAGCAAATGCCGACGACGCTGACGATTTGACGGCTCGTGGAGACGTTAATGAGAAAGTGACGATGGCGTGAAGCCGACGGTGGAGCTGGCGATGTAGATTATGCCGAGGACAGAACGGATAACGGCGATGACGTTCTACGCGTGCGTGTGTCGAACTTCTTTCGCACCGTACGTAGCCAACCGCGCGCTAAACTGAGGTGCCGGGGGTAAGGAGAACAGACTAAACAACTACAGTGGCATGACGGGTATGAGTCCTGTGACGACGACCGATAGCCGCAACGATGCCAGGCCATTGCATATTTCATATCCGTGAAGATAGTTCGAGTGACCATGAGGAGAACGCTGATAACGATGACGGATCGTCGTCATCACCAGCAGCACCAACAACAACAACCACTTTCACTAACCATGTTGCGCGGAGTCCAACTTTTTCGGCGTCTTCTTTCCCATGTCCTCTTTGTTCTTGCAGCAGCAACAACAGCAGCAGCAACAAGAGCAGCAGCAGCAACAGTCGTCAACCTCGTTCACCACCTTCACCTCCTCCTCCTGCTGCTGCTACTACCACGGCTGCAGCAACAGACGGCGTGGACTCTCCCGGCGCGCATGCGCACTCACGACCCCCACACACCCCACGACCCCCCCCACCACCCCCCACCCCCCCGACCCCCCACCCCACCACCCCCCCGACCCCCCCGACCCCACCACCCCGCCGACCCCCCCACCCCCCACCCCACCACCCCCCGACCCCACCACCCCCCCGACCCCCCACCCCCGACCCCCCCGACCCCCCCACCCCACCATCACACCACCCCCCCACCCCCCGACTCCCCCACCCCCCCGACCCCCCACCCCACCCCCCCCACCCCCCCGACCCCCCACCCCCCACCACCACCCCCGACCCCCCCACCCCACCACCCCCGACCCCCCCACCCCACCACCCCCGACCCCCCCACCCCACCACCCCCCCGACCCCCCCACCCCACCACCCCCCCGACCCCCCCACCCCCCCGACCCCCCCGACTCCCCCACCCCCCCGACCCCCCCACCCCACCACCCCCGACCCCCCCACCCCACCACCCCCGACCCCCCCACCCCACCACCCCCCGACCCCCCACCCCACCACCCCCCCGACCCCCCCACCCCCCCGACCCCCCCACCCCACCACCCCCCCGACTCCCCCGACCCCCCCACCCCACCACCCCACGACTCCCCCACCCCACCACCCCCCCGACCCCCCCACCCACACCCCCCCACCGCCCCAACCCCCACCACATAGCCCGAGGGTGGCACGCGTTAGCCCTATGCTCATGTGAACTACGATATGCGCGGCGTTACGTCTGTACGAACTACCATATACAAATCGACGTGCTTATGCCAACTACGGAATGTGCGTCATCTCCTATGCGGACTGCGAAATGTGTGCGCGTATGTTAATGTTAACTACGGATTTTGTAGGTATGCGTTTATATGAACTACGAAATGTTTAGTGTTATGTTTATGCGAACTACGAAATTCGTAGGCGCATGCTAACGTGAACCACATCTTCACGAATTTGTATATAAACTGCGAAACGTTAAACAATTATAATGTCGTCGGCTTAGCAGATTGCCTTTCGACAGAAACATTTATCCCATCACTATTTGGTAAAGGAACGCTGCTGAGCCACCCGAGGTAGGTTATTTCATGAAAACTACAACAATGGATTACACAATTTCTATTTAAAGCTTTCGTGACTGCAGGGATTCATCTTTTTGGTTCTTTCGGTAAAGTCACGTAGAATAATTCGTGGGAATTATTTTATTATGCTTTATTTTTATTATTTTATTACTTCCCTTCTACGTGACTTTACCGAAAGAACCAAGAAGATGGATTACAAAATGTTGAAGGTTTATGTTCATGTGAACTACATTTTAAATACGTGCATTTAAAAAAACTGCTTGTGTTTAGTTTGCTGCCCCCACCGCACCTCCGATTTTGACGGTTGGCTACGTAGGTTGCGAAAGAAGTTCAACATCCACTGCTCGATGAAAGTCCACACATCCTATTTGCATTAAGTCTGATGAAATGTAGTTACGAATCTTGAGAACGACGGCATGCGCATGTTAACTACGGAATTGACACCCTAGTCCGTGTGGACTAGGAAATGTAAAAGGTGCTTATGAAACGCACAAAAGTGCGAACTAAGATTTAAGTTTCATTGCCGATATAAATTTGACACTCTTACAAACTGCACAATTAAATGCGTCTGCTTATGTCTTGTTGCATCAACTATTACAGTTATAAAAACGTATAATTATTGCGCAGATTTACACGACAGACTCTACGCGGTATGCGCATGTAAACTAGTATTTTGAGTACCCGGACACATATAAATTACGAAATCTAGAGCGATGGCTCAACCGAGATCTCGCGAGACCTCGCGAGACATCGTCAAGTCTCGCTTTGCTTCGTCAAGTCTCGCGAGACATCGTCAAATCTCGCTTTGCTTTGTCAAATCTCGCGATATTTCGTCAAGTCTCGCGATACTTCGTCAAATCTCGCGATACTTCGTCAAGTCTCGCGAGACATCGTCAAGTCTCGCGATACTTTGAGCCGAGGCCTACCCCTGGGCGCCAACGCTGATCACCTGGTCCCGAGGGGGCCCCGTGCGTTCTACCCCCTCTCGGGGGTCTGCTGTCATTCCTAGGGGTCCCAGGACCCCCACCGCTTCGCTCCCCACTCGCAGACCCCCCCCCCCTCTACCTCACGTCTTGATCATCTCAGAACCCGGCGTGCTTCGCTAAGCGGGATTACTGTGGCGGGTGTACCAATATCGGGTCTCGGGACCCCCTCCACTCATCTCTCTGCCTTCCCAAGGGCTCTCAGGAACCCCCCGGAGTCTCTTTAAGTTTCCTCTCAGGGGGGGCCTCGGGTGTTTCGGCCCCTCTTACCCCCTCTTAGGACCCCGGTCCGCACGGTGGGGGTGCTCGCCATGTCCACGGCGATGTTGTTCGACTTCACGGAGAGCAGGAAAGCGCTCACGGTGAGTGTGGCCGTGCTCACGAGAGACCTCTCCATGCGCTACGAAGCCGGTGTCCCGAGTTTCTGAATTCCCGCTAAATCGGTCCTGGGACTCCCCTAGGTCGACTCGGCCTCAAACGAGTACCCGGTGCGGTTGTGTAAAACATCGCGAATTGGGGAGACAAAGGCGGCCGGGCGTGGTGCTGGCCACCCCCCCCCCCTCGTGTGCCGTGCTGCTACTCGCTATCACAGCACTTGCACTTCTTTCGCACCGTACGTATTCAACCGTGTGCTAATCGGAGGTGCGGTGGTGAGGGGGGATACAACAACATTGAACACAAAGCAGTTCTAAAGCAACGAGTTTTCAATCTAGGTTTAAAATGCCGTAGCCAATTCATCTTAGGTCGATAGCAATGCGTCACTTTTTGTTGGAAAGTCAACGCTGGTTATCGTATGTGCATATAATGTACATGTCCCCGTCGTGAGAATGTGGAATTTACACCACTCGCTCACGGGGGGCCTGCGGTAGAGAAGAGCGCGACACCGCTGTCTAGCCAAACTGGGGGAGAAGACGAGTTGAGAATAAAAGTTTATTTTGTTTTATTCCCAATGTCTATTCCGTTTTGTACCTCTGGGTAGGCCTCGGCAAGGTAAGGTAAAAGTTAAAAGGTAAAAACAACGAGCCTACCTTTACCCTACCTTTTACCTTACCACAATACAATCACTCTACCCTACCTTGTACCCTTTAGCACAGCGGTCGGGAACCTATGGCTCGCGAGCCATATATGGCTCTTCCAGTGACGGCATATGGCTCCCAGACAATTTTGAGTTGAAACAATAATTAAAAAAAATAAAAAATCAGTTTGGAACTAATTTTAAAATGCTTTTGATATTACTTAATAATACTGTGTCATTTTAAAGTGAACAGAAATTAGTTTTGAAGATACATTTCACGGGTCACGCCTGCATGAAGCTCAACCTCACCACGTATGCACCCGACTACGAGGCCATCAGCAAAACCATGCAGCACCAGAAGTCGCATTAAAAGTAAGACATTTAATTTATTATACGTTAAAAATACTATATGGCTCTCAATGCAATATATTTAGAAATATTTTGCTTTTATGGCTCTCCCAGTCAAAAAGGTTCCCGACCCCTGCTTTAGCAGGTAAGGTAAAGTGTAAAAACAACGAGCCTACCTTTACCCGACCTTTTACCTTACCACAATACAATCACTCTACCCTTACTCCATACAAATTACCCGATTACAGGGTAATGACTAGGGTACTACTACACATGAAAACGGTCTATAACGGTAAATGCTGGGTAGAGCGCTTTACTCATATAGAATACTCTCGATTATTCCAATTTTACACGCTTTCTATTAACTCACTCTGTCTATTGTTGTCGTTGTGATATCAAATCTTGCAACTGCAAACTAGGTATACTTATGTCATACTGATGACAATATATTCTAGTCATAAAAATGTATATATTTTTCGACATCATTTTTGATATGTTATGTTTCGGCTTGGGTATAATTGTCCACGCTCAACTGACGTTGGCTCTAATTGGCCACGGTTCCTTACGTTCTGGCAAGCTTCGGGGCCACTTCCTGGAGTCGTAGAGTTCTGCCATTACTAGTAACATTTAATAAAAGCGTGTTTTATAAAAAGTTTGTTTTAATATTACTTATTAATGGAGGCCACGGACTGCGCCACGGAGCTTTTAGCGGTAAACAAGGCACCGTGTTTACCGGGTAATACTTCTCGCTACCTTTACCCTACCGGGTAATTCTTCTGAGCTACCTTTACCCTACCCTTTACCTTGCCCCTTGGCATGTCGACACCTTTACCCTTTTACCCGGTAATAAGGGTAAATTACCTTACCTTGCCGAGGCCTACCTCTGGGCCTGTGGACCAACTCACCCGGAATGCCCCAGATCTGGGAAGCTCATCGAGTTGAGCCTGGCGAGTGCTTGGCCTGGGCGAACCACCAGACAGTAATTAACAGGTGCCATAGGCTGCGAGGCAGAGGACAGTGCAGCATCATATGTTTGTTGTATATAATGTAGTCGCATATATATTGATGCGGCTCTGGCGTGATGCTTAACGCACTGGACTATGTAATGGAGAAGTTGTCGATTTCCCGGTGTGGCAATACAAAAAAAAGGCTTGTTTCTTAAACCTATGGCCTCTTTTCAACCCAGCTGTATTATAAAACACAGCGTTCCCTTTGTCCATCAACTAAATTATAAGAGCCTTCCAGAAGACCTGAATAAAACATCTCTAGAAAGTGGACACCCCCCCCCCCTCCCAGATGTGGGGGTTAAAAGTTGATCCAACCGAGTTCCAAAACAAATCACTTTTATTTTGTAGGCGTATAATGCCGAGACACCCCTACATACAATCGAGTCGGTAGTATCTGCACACATTGGCAGGGGTGGGGGGGGGACATCAGTCGGGACGAGTAGCCGAGAAGCCCTCCCCAGGAGCTAGAGAGAGTAAGGTGGCCGCTGGAGGCCGAAATTCTCGTCCAATAAATTAGCACACCCACAGATGCTCGCTATGTCGCATATGCGGGGTAAAGTGTGGGTCCTCTCATCACATCCAAGACGTCTGGCCGGCATGGAAGAGGAGGCCAAAATGATCTCTAGATGAGAGGGGCTTTCTGGACCTCTCTTTCGTAGAGGCCCTTCCGCCAGCAGTGGTTGCACACATCAAACAAAGTTTATCTGCAAGTTTTACCACAAGCATGTGTGCTTAATGCAGACTTGATTTATTGCAGTAGGTGTCTCCTGTATTATTGGCAGAAATGATAAAGCCTTACATTTTTCTTCTTCTTGGTTCTTTTGGTAAAGTCACGTAGAAGGGAAATAATAAAAATAAAACATAATAAAATAATTCTCACGACAAACCTGTTCTTCACCTGAGGACGGCTGCTTGCGTTGTGGCCGAAACGTGAGAATTATAAAATGTTTTATTTTATTATTTTATTATTTCTCTTCTACGTGACTTTACCGAAAGAACCAAGAAGATGAATCCCTGCAGTCACGAAAGCTTTAAATCGGAACATTAAATTTTTGTTTCATCACCATGAGCAATACCATTGCAGGGTTGCACCTTTATCATTTACAATGCATGTACCACCCCCACCCATGCCTCACCTCCCTCGCCCCAATCCCCTCTCTCTGCCTTCACAGATCTCGGCATGGGAGTCTCTGAAGAACAAGAGCACCGACGTGATCGTGGCGGCTTTCGGACAGCTGAACGGCAGGTGAGTGGAGCGTAGGGAGCATCGGTGTAGGATGACACCCAACAACCTCCCTTCTCTTACACTTACCCTTATCTATTAATCAGCTAATCCCCCCTCCCACTTTTTGGCTCCTCCCCCCCCCCTCTTACCCTATATAATCACAGTTCTCTAAACAGCTCTCTTTATTCACTACATCATTTTTTCTGTGGCGGTTCCACCTGAAGATGGATGCTTGTGTTGCTTCCGAAACGTCGTGATTTAATTTAGTTGTTTTTATTTAAATTTATTTTATTTTTTAACCTACGTGACTTTACCGAAGACCCCCAAAAAGTATGGATCCGTGCAGTCACGAAAACTTCAAATCTAGAACCCAACTGATACCCTGGGAACGATCCAAGCCAGGAAAACCATTCGCGATCCCAGTGATCCGGGCGGTTAGTGCTCGTGACTCTTCGAGCTGGGCTTGTGTGGTTTATTCGTCTCTTCACGACACCAGCAACTCGCCTTTTTCACTCAACACTGTGACCACGCTCTACCATGACCGGTACCTGAATATGTATCACATTTAATCGGACCTCAAAAGTTACGCATGGTTGAGCTTGGGTTAGTCCTAGGATGGGAGAGCTGTCCGGGAAAATCGGGTTTTGTTGGATTTGGATGCGATTTTGCCAGGAGATAGCTGTACGGCAGTTTACTGTTGAAGCCATCTGTGCGGAGTTTCAAATGTTATCTCATGTGGGGTAGAGTTTTTCTCTGAGTTCTCCCTTTTCCTTCCACATGAAGCCAAACATTCAACGATGTAATTTGTCCAATGCAGATCCGTTCTGAAAAGTATATACGCAGCAAAGCTTTCCTGGATAAATCAAGGGCTTTATTAATTCGCTCTGTTTTGCAATGTTCCTGTTTGATGTAGTGAGCTGGAAAAACGGAGCGCACTGGACCAGGCTGTCAGAGACGTCCTCAAGGAGTTGATCGTGAGTGCACACGCAGTCACACACTCTTGCAGCCAAAGACAAAGATCCCCCGTATAGCCTTAACATACTAGCTTTAACATACTGTTAAGGCAATACCACCACTCCCCAAAATATATCGTCACACACACACAGTCCCAAAGTTGCGCACAGTCACACGCTTATACATTCAACCTGTCAAAAACGGTAGCAAAGTCACATGCAGTTACACACACGGACACATTCACACATTGTCACAATCACGTCACGCTTTTGTATGGTCAGTGTGGTGGTTACTTATTCTTCTGTGCTTTCCCCTATGGTCTGGCATTCCCATCCCCCAACCATACATGCTGTTGACACCTGCCCCTGTTCATGTCTAGGCTCAAGGCCTTTTTCCCCTTCTGTCTTTGTCTCTCTAATAAATAAATATGGCCACTGTTTCTTTAGAGCAACCTGAGATGCGGTCGTATTGAGACATATCAATGATAACATTGTATTGTATAGAGACACTCAGCCTCGTATAGAGGCCTTCCTATTTTCCTTTGCCTATGACCGACTGCCTCCCTCTCTGTACAACACGTATACCCACGGTTTCTATCCAGTCATCTTGGGACGCGGTCCCATTGGGACGGTGCATAATATCGTGCAATTGCGTTGCATGATATTGTATTAAACTATATTAAGTTCTTGCATGTGCTGCCCATATGTCTTGTGCAGGTGAGGCAAAGCGACTGCAAGGATGTCCTGGCGGTTATCTCACTCAGCATTGACAGCGTCACGGCAGGCATGTAACCGCACAACCATGGTGACATTGATAACAGCGCGATGAATTGGTGGTGGATAATGATCATGATGATGACGACTGATGATGGTGATGCAGTTGTAGAAGACCCTTTTTATGGTGTAAAATGCAACTGTACCTTCAAATTACAAATAATTTCAATGGATATATTGTGCAGTCTTTAATGCTGACTCGTAAGGCATTTGTTAGCGAGAGGATTATATTTTAACTGTGATGTTGCTTTACATGACTGTATGAAATCTTAGTCTTGCAATAATAAAAAAAAAGTACACATTATTTGGGAATGCTGCTGCTGCGTTGCCAATGGTGCACCAGCACAAATAGAGAACGAAACAACTCATCCGTCAACAACACTGGACTTAAATAACAAAAAGGGAGATAATAGGCAACGTTTCTGGTAGTGGCCCTTCTTCTACAGCACATAGTCCAGAGAGGTATGTGCTATGAGGAAGGTCCACTTCCCGAAACGTTGCCTATTATGTTTCAGGCAGTGTCATACGTGGACAGAGCTAAAACGGAAGGCCAAAATCGCCGACGTCTTTGAGAAAGCGACGTGGCCTACAGAGAGAGATTTATGAGAAAGCGACGTGGCCACAGAGAGAGATTTGTGATTGTGTTGAGATATGTGTTGAGATATTTTCGTTTATTATTTGCTTCAAATGAAGTACAGTCTCTTGTCCTATAAGGCGGTAGTTCTGTTCCTGAAGAACACTGAACAAAGACTGAGGCCCGTGGGTAGCATCTCGAAGCATGCAGCAGCAATCCCGCCTTGTGTGATGCTCCGCCGAGGCAGTAGTACAACCGCTTATTCCTTCTCGCTCGACATATTTCTGTTCACTCGATCACAATACAGGCAGTCCTCTACTTACGATAGAGATGCGTTACGACGACCCCATCGTAAGTCGAAAATATCTTAAGTCGAAGATGGCCCAGCCTACCCAGGAGTCTTAAAGAATGGTGATTATTTAGCAAAACAGAGCAATTTACAGTACTGTACTGTATAAACTATATACTGTATGTATTTATTAATTACAATACTGTATTGCACAGTAAAATGTAAAGAAAAAAAAAACAAGGTAAATCCTTAGCCTACCTATAGGAACTGCAATTTAATAGAAATTTTTTTCAGGTAACAATCCTAGCTGCTATAAAAACTTTTAACATGCATCGAACGAATCGTATCGTGGTAACCTTAAAATTAAATTGCTAAAGCTACGTATCAAACATGCATTGAACGTATCGTAACGTATCATATTGTCCTGTACTCACCAAGATTCTGTCCGTCGTCTGCATACTTGAGCGATGTTAGGTTGTTGTTGGCAACTTTGTCGTATCGCTATCGCCATCGTAAGATCGAAATATCGTAAGTCGGACCATCGTAACTCGGGGACTACCTGTATATCCAATTCGCATCCCTGTTATAAATATATGTTCCCTGAACAGACTTACTTTGGGGTTAAAATAATATAATAGTATTCTGACTCGTAGGGATGAGGGATCCAAAGTCAATGGGATCAAAATACGATGTCGCGCTGTTTCCCCGACGACGCAGGCGTGTGCTCGGCGTCCACTCCGTTCCTGCTGCTGGGAGATCTTCTGGACGGCCTCCCGCTCGACCAGTGCGACCACATCTTCACTTTCGTGGAGCAAAACGTCGGCACCTGGAAGGCGGTAAGAACGCCTGAGATGGAAACATGACCCTGAGATGGCAACAATCCATGCAGCACCTTCTGCACAGCCACGAAACTGAAGCTATTTTCATTTTGCCAGGTAAGGCCCACTGAGCTATATAGCCCTTTTTTTAGAAGCAACCTGGCCACAAATGATAGCTCAACTTAGTGGCTTATCATGTGGATTTTATAGCAGCCAAATACTCTCAACGCACGCTTCTAAATGTGGAGGTAAAAACCGAAGGACCCGGAGAAAAATCCACGCAGCCCATGGGAAGAACATTCAAACTCCAAATATACAGGCACCAGGGTCGGAATTGAACCAACGACCTCCTGTATACCAGGCGAGGTATTCAACATCTCACTGCCGCTCGATCTCCTCAGTGGACGCCCTCGGATACGTTCCGTTCCTCGGCTGCGGCTCCATCATTATGCTTGACCATCATCCATTAACCCCTCCAGCGATGTGACCTGCTCAAGCCTAAAAGTTTGGACAATGTCATTAGCCTGTGAATGCTCCCTAATCCACGTGTTCCTCTTTCTGTTTCTCAATGTGATTCTGAGCATACGTCTCACCACGTGCCTTGGCACACTTTTCAGACCTTCAAGAGTGGCTTGGTGAATATCTGAAAGGCTGCCTGCGAATAATCAAAGCAGACAGTGGCGTTACTGTGTGGCCTGTGGTCTAGAGTAAAGTTATCTACAAGCATCGATTTAATGACGATAATAAATGGTCAGTCGACCTTGGATGGGGATTTGAACCATCAACCTTTGGACTGCGAGGCAATCGCTCTCGCCACAGCCGCACACTTGACCAGGTCTCCGTTGCGTTTTGTGAAGTCCCGGAGAAATTAACGCGTTCCCTACCCCTGTTTCGCAGAGCACGTTCTACTCTGCCGGCAAAAACTACCTCCTGCGTATGTGCAATGGTGAGCGGGGGCTGTGAAACACACACAACAGCAGCAACAACCGCCATTCGCCACTAAGTGGCGGTGACGTCACCACGGCGCTTGTGCCAGGCACGAGGTGCACTTTGAGGCCACGTGAAGTGTAGAAAGATTGCTGGCATGATGTCATGGTTCACACCCGGGTGTTATGGATTGACTGCCTGAGATGACTGGCAGATACACCACCTGTACTCCCCACTGTGGTAGCCTGCTGCGTTTTAGCTGCAAGGCGCTCCGCTCGTTGTTGTGAGTGTCGCTCCACCGTATATTGTTGTTGGGAAGGCAACTGCTTCCAACTGCCCAGTCACATCCTTCACGAGCTTCCGCTACAGTGGCTGATCTTGACATTGCTGGTACCAGACATTGGAAAGTCCAAAAACTCCACATCCTTCTGTACCAAATCTGTCCATCTATTCCATAGCCCATCCCACGTCCGTGTAACCCCCTCTATCTGGCCAAACAGAAGTGGCTTGGGAGGCATGTAGTGGCTGGGCATGCGGTGTACACGACCCAGCAAACGCATCCTTGCCTGTCAGAGGAGCTCACAGATAGGACTGTGTCCAGATCTTTGAAGGATCTTTGAGCTCACACAATCCAGTCTGGTTAAACCCTGGATGAATTGTAGGCATGCCAGCCACACAAACCACAAGCACACACACACATGTGATCTGTGCTTTTGTGTGTTCCACGCACAGTGTGATTGTCCCGTGCATGTGTCCTGCATATACACGTGATCATGCCGTGTGTCCCGAACACACAAACACAAACACACACCTTCTTGGTTCTTTCGGTAAAGTCACGTAGAAGGAAGATAATAAAATAATAAAAATAAAACATAATAAAATAATACAATTCTCACGACGTTTCGGCCACAACGCAAGCAGCTGTTCTTCACCGCTGTCTTTCCGACAGACCTGTTCTTCACCTGAGGACGGCTGCTTACCTGTTCTTCACCTGAGGACGGCTGCTTACGTTGTGGCCGAAACGTCGTGAGAATTGTATTATTTTATTATGTTTTATTTTTATTATTTTATTATCTCCCTTCTACGTGACTTTACCGAAAGAACCAAGAAGATGAATCCCTGCAGTCACGAAAGCTTTAAATCGAAACACACACACACCTGTAACCATCCTGTGCACACGTGTCCTTCACTCAGACCTGCTCCGCCGCCTGTCCAAGTCACAGAACACCGTGTTCTGCGGACGCATCCAGCTCTTCCTCGCGCGGCTCTTTCCTCTCTCGGAAAAGTCAGGTGAGACGCACACCCAGGCGGGCGCGTAGCGACGTGCCGATTCGTCGACCGAACCTCGCGCTCGCGACACGCGCGCCGTTGATTGCGCGTGCTTTCGTGCGAAGCGGGCCAACTGTGTGGTGCTCTCTCACCGCTCGTTGCAGAGGCTCACGGTTTGAATCTACGGGCAGCCTTAGTGTTTAAACCATAGAATACGCGCCATCCGCTTTGGAGCAGATGTTAACTATCCCCTGGTTCCGTTAGAAACGTGTAGGCCATTGTGCGTCGGCGTCATGATCTACATTTGGCGAATGTAAAACATTTCCTCGCAACATTAGCCAAATTACGCCATGGGACTTATACACGGCAACATCGTCCCCTTTTGTAAAATCACCATGTGAAACATCGTGCCTTCGTTATAGCCTTGCACTATAATAATGGCGCAAATAACAAACGCACGCATTTGGTCTTGTAGCTAAATAGGAATGATGCCAAAAGTTTGAAACATTATTTTGAATCATCAAAATCAAATCAACAGTAAAACCCACGAGTCTCCCCAGATGGACGGCCAAGCGGCCGTTTGTCCGGAGAGTGAGTTTGATGAACGGGTAGGTAAGTGGAATGGAGTTAATGATGGGGAGGGAAGGGGGATTTTGGGTAAGCAAGGTAAAATAAGTGAGTGTTTTAAAGGAAGAACCAAAAATATGACAGTGAGGCTAAGTTACGTGTTTGACTTGGTCTCGCGAATAACGCCGAACCACCAGACGCCAAGTAGCTGTCGCTGAGTCAAAATCAACGAGTAAAATCGCAGCTGGACATTGTACCAATTAATCGAATTGCTTGGCGTGTGGACTGATTTATATTACAAGCCCAGCGACTGGTGATCATGATGATGGTAGTGGTGATGATGATGATGTTGCCCCTTCCCATTGTGCTCAGGTCTGAACCTGCAGAGTCAATTCAACCTGGAGAATGTGACTGTGTTCAACACCAACGAGACGGAGAGCACGCTGTGTCTCAAGGTGAAGGGCCGTGGCTGTGGGCCCGACACGCGCAGGGTCAAGGGAGAGGCGCGTACGGGAATGCTCGTGTGTTTGCGTATGCTTTTTCGTGTGTCTGTGTGTACAGCGGTTCGTGCCCCGCGCTATGAACAACTCGACGGCCCGAATTCGATTACCGCTCACGGCCAACACCAGTGACGATTATCTCAACCGGTCTTGGGCCCTCTCCTAGCGAATACCAAACGTGCTCAATTATTCAGCCTGATGGTGGTGGTGGCGGCGATGCACGCCTGTAATCCGGCATTGTGGAGCTCGCGAGGGTTGGTGAAGCACCGCACAAATGTTGTGAACCTCCCTTCCCAGTGGGCGTCGAGCTGAATGCAGTACCGTACGTAAAAAACGTGGACTCCCATCTGTTCCATCTACATGCAATAGAGCGTTGCCCCACCTCGCACGTGTGGGTTTCCTCTGGGCGCTTAGGTTTTCTCCCACTTGTAAACACTCGTGACCGATGATAACGCTAAATTTCGATTTAAAGTTTTCGTGACTGCGGGGATTCATATTCTTGGTTCTTTCGGTAATGTCACGTAGAAGGGAAATAATAAAATAATAAAAATAAAACTAAATTAAATTCTCACGACGTTTCGGCCACAACGCAAGCAACCGTCCTCAGGTGAAGAAACAGAGCTGTCGGAAAGACAGCGTTGTGGCCGAAACGTCGTGAGAATTAAATTTATTTTTATTATTTCCCTTTTTACGTGACTTTACCGAAAGAACCAAGAATGCGATGATAACACCTTAATATATAGAGGACCGCAGAGATTGGCAGTGGTGGGAATTTGGTATTGATTGCTGCTGCCCTGCCACTTGCGTCTCTCTCTCTGAGAGCGAGCAAATGTTGTGCAAGTTGACACTTATTATTTGCGTCCGTGTGCATTGTGTGTCCCGTGTTTTATTTGTCAACGCGTTGCTCTGCAGCTGACGGACGATCGTGATGACACGGTGGACATCGAGGAGGGAGAAATGGGAGAGGACGATATCGTTACCACGAGGTGTGGACGCTCACTAACCCCCACGCCTGCACCACCACTCCCTTCTCTCTCTCTGTACCTGGTAGAGCACCGGAGCAATGCATCAACAATACCCAGAGCGGAGAGCTGACTCGGAATTGAGAACGCTGAGCTTGACACCTGCCTATGATTAAATTGGGTTACTGAATCACCATTGGAACCTCATTTGCCAGTAAAAAATATGATACAGTGATCCCTCGTTTATCGCGGTTAATGGGGACTGGAACCCCTCGCGATAGGTGAAAATCCGCGAAGTAGGATTGGCCCCCTAGGAATTTCCGTATATGTGTGTGTGGGTACCAGAATGTTTAAAATATGTATATTTATACTTTATATATATTTTACTTAAATCTATTTAATTATAAAACCTTAATATTATACACTCTCTCTCATACGATACGTATTATGGTGTTCTACACTCACCAATGACAGTAGTATCTTGAGACTTGACTCCAGTAATGACGACGATGACAATGACGACGATGACAGACCTGTGCAGTTCGATGAATGTGATGATGAATGATGATGATGATGGTGTTACTGCACAGGTATAATGAGGCCTTTAAATCAGTTCGAAAAATCCGCGATGCACTGAGGCCGTGAAACTTGAACCGCGAAGTGGCGAGGGATTACTGTAATTGTTTTTTTACCCTTCTATCCGGCAACAAAACTGACACCTTTTTTACAAGGAGTCATGTTTGCATAGACCGCAATACCTGCAGTCGTAATACAAACAAAAAACATAACTCTGATAATGTATGCACTGTCCTTGAAGTTGATTGGTCCACACCCGAGACAGCTTTCCTTAGAGCCTAGTCTCACATGGGTTGGACCAGATGACGCCAAAAGGCGCACCTTATTACTGAATGTAGCCGACGGGTTAAGGGTCTCAGCCTGGTCACTCGATGCTCCGTATGAAGGATGTCGTGAGTTCCATCCCGATCCCGACGCCTGTATATTTGGAGTTTGCGTGTCTCCCTGTAATCACGTCGATTTTTCTCCGGGCCTTCCGTTATTTTTTTAGAGCGTTCGGTTGCTATAATTGTCCATGTTATTATAAGCCGCTTGGTCGAGCTATCATTTGTAGCCACGCAAGCACGCTTCTGGAAAGGAACTGTATAGCTCAGTGGGCCTTGCCTGGTAAAATAAAAATAGTTTAGTTGATACTCCACCAAAAACAAATCATCGTGCCTCCCCACAGCTCCGTGCCAATCGACTACAACCTCTACCGCAAGTTCTGGTCCCTGCAGGACTTCTTCCGCTGCCCCTTGCAGTGCTACGACCGCCTGCAGTGGAGGACCTTCTCCAAGGTGTGCGTCTGTTCCCACGGCCTCTTTAGAGACTCGTACATAATGAATTGTAACTTGCAGCGGCGCCGTGTCAGTCTACATGTGGCGATGATGATGATGTGTGTGACAGCTTTTTGTGTCTGTCTCCTCGCTAGTGCTCGGACGAAGTGCGTACATGTGGTGATGGCGGCAGTGATGATGATGGTGTGTGACAGCTCTCTTGCCCCCCCTGCCCCCCCGCTAGTTCTCCGACAAGGTGCTAACCGAGTCTACATGTGGCGATGATGATGATGATGTGTGACAGCTCTCTTTGTGTCTCTCTCCTCGCTAGTTCTCAGACAAAGTGCGTACACATGGCGATGGCGGCGGTGATGATGATGATGATGTGTGACGGCTCTCTTGTGTCTCTCCCCGCTAGTTCTCGGAAGAGGTGCTCACCGAGTCTACATGTGGCGATGATGATGTGTGACAGCTCTCTTGTGTCTCTCTCCTCGCTAGTTCTCAGACAAAGTGCGTACACGTGGCGATGGCGGCGGTGATGATGATGATGATATTGTGTGACAGCTCTCTTGTCTCTCTCCTCGCTAGTTCTCCGACAAGGTGCTAACCGAGTCTAAAATGTGGCGATGATGATGATGATGTGTGACAGCTCTTTGTGTCTCTCTCCTCGCTAGTGCTCAGACAAAGTGCGTACACGTGGCGATGGCGGCAGTGATGATGATAATGTGTGACAGCTCTCTTGTCTCTCTCCCCGCTAGTTCTCGGACGAGGTGCTAACCGAGTCTACATGTGGCGATGATGATGATGATGTGTGTGACAGCTCTTTTGTCTCTCTCCCCGCTAGTTCTCGGAGGAGGTGCTCACCGTGTTCAAGAGCTTCAAGCTGGACGACGCGCATGCCAGTAGCCGCGTCCACGGCGCCGGCGCCGTCTCCCGTGCGCACGGGGAGCACGCTTATTTCGCCAAGTTCCTCACCAGCGAGAAGGTGGGGGCCACAGGCAGAGGTCGCAAACGGGTTTTGATTCCTTACCCGTACCCGGCCGCACCAGGGTCGCAAATGGGTACCCGTACCCAGCCGGGTACGAGTAGTCGTTCCCTATCCGTACCCGTACCCTACCCGAAATGAGTGACAAACGGTTACTCACCAGTGACTCACGGCCTACCCGTACCGGCCGCACCAGGGTCGCAAACGGGTACCCGTACCCAGCCGGGTACGGGTAGCCGGGTACGGGTATCGGGTACCCGATTGCGACCTCTGGCCGCAGGTCTGGGAGGGGATGCAGCCGGCGGTGGGGGGAGGGTGGGGGCTCTCTTCCCCATAATCCCCATGGAGTCGTGGTTATGTACGGAAACACGTGATTGCGCGTGTCTGTCTGGGAGCGGTAATGTAGCGGTTAGCGCGCTGCGCTAAGTACCCCGCAGCCCAAGTTCCATTCCTGATCATGACCAACACCAGTGACGATTATCTTAACTGGTTCTGGGCCTCCCCTAGGTTGACTCGGCCTCAAATGAGTACCTAGTGTGATGTGTAAACATCGCCACAAGGGAGACAAAGGCAGCTGTGCATGGTGCTGGCCACCCACCTTCTTACACGTGTCATGCCGGGCTTTATAGCTACTCGCCCACAGCACTTGCCCCAACAGTCAGGCTATACAGGGGATCTTTGACTTCTTTATTTATATATCTATGTGCTAGTGCGTGGATGTCATTTTCTGTCTGTGGCTAACATTAGTGGCCGCGATATCCTAACCGATCCTGGCCGACCTCTTTCATCAACCCAGGCTGTCCAGCGTGGTGAAGTACGGTCTTACAACCCCCTTAACCGACATGGTGCGGGAAGGCATTCAGTAATCAATTACAAAAGCTCTATAATTTAAATATTTTTTACAGCGCTCGTTCCAAGATTGTTTTTATGCTACTCGGGTGGATTTTTCTGTTTGTCTTGTCGGGCTGTCTGGGTGTTTATGCATAAACTGTAAAACTAAACTATAACCAGGAAAGGCCCACTGAGCTATTATAGCTCTTTCTCAGAAGCAACCCGGCCACAAATGATAGCTCAACAGAGTGGCTTCTGTTGTCGAAATGTATAGCAGCCAAATACTGTAAACGCATGTTTCTAAATGTGGAGTGAAAAACCGGAGGACCCGGAGAAAAGTCCACACGACCGCGGGGAGAGAGACACGCAAACTCCAAATATACAGGCAGCACGGTCTTAATTGAACCCACCACCTCCTCCATACCAGGCGAGGGAGTTAACATCTCGCGACCGTGGCGCCCAATCATTATGGGTGTTGCACTGTCGGTGTAGCGCGTTGTGTTGAGCACTCGTGTCTTCTCCTGTGTCGCTTGCAGCTGATGGACCTGCAGCTGAGCGACAGCAACTTCCGGCGCCATGTCCTGCTGCAGCATCTGCTGCTGTTTCAGTACCTAAAGGGTCAGGTGAAGTTCAAAAGGTCAGCTCAGCCTCTAGCATAGCTGACAGATACAGCGTGGCTTACAGCTAATCGACACCTTCCACACCACGTCACGGAATTTCTCACCACTCGCTCCGCAACACACCACCCCACACCGCAGCACACCGCACCGCGAACCCACACTACAGCGCAACTTGCCACCAACTCGCACACCACGTACATACTAACCCACGGCACGCACGGCACATGGTAGAGGTATCGCAGCTTGCAGGTGTGTGATCTGTACCGCCCCTCTGTGTGCATGCGAGCTGCACCGTCCGTCTGTGTGCAGTGCACGCGTGTCCGAGCGCTGTGTACCGGCTGTCGTTTCAGCTCTACGAGTGTGCTTACTGACGAGCAGTCGCTGTGGATCGAGGACACCATCAAGCACGTCTTCCAGGTAGACCAGGCCTGGCGCTTGTCGAGCGCCAGCCTTGAGCTGGCCTGGAGCTAGCCTCTTGCTGGCCTGAAGCTAAGCCCAGAGCTGGCCTGGTGGCACTAGTCTGGTAAAATATTAAAACTAACTGTTCACCATTCAGGGTCACGATTTATTGAAGAATGTACGTTTTTTTTTGTCGCTCTGTTTCTGCCGACAGCTGCTAAAGGAGACTCCTCCCGAGGGTGACAAGTTCTCAAAGGCCATCGAGGTGAGTCCGTCACCGCTGTCGGCCACTGCACGCACGTGCTCACGCGCCCACATGCACGCATGTGCGGCCCAAAACTAACCTGACGCTGGCCTGACCTGACCTGCGATGCCTGTCGCGTTGGGGAAATCCAGTGGCCAAGCGCCACCACCTTCTTCGTTCTCGTTGCAGCACATTCTGGCGCGAGAGGAGAACTGGATCACGTGGAAGAACGAGGGCTGTCCCAGCTTCGTGAAGGAGAGGTACGGTGGCACAGAGGCACGGCGCAACGCACGCAGTGTCCGACGGACAGGGTTCACACGTACTCGGCACGCGCGGCGTTTACGCGTGTGCGCGCGCACACACACACGCGCCGGTCAACGTTCACGCGCGTACTACTTTCAGCAGACATTGTTCACACACACACAGGGCAGCCGACAGTGATTTCTTGTGCCTGGGAAATATTGTGCTCGTGTTCGTCTGTCCGTCTGTCCGAGGACACTTTCATGAACATTAAAAAAAAAACCTCGAACCAAACAACTCAGCACATTCGTCAATAACACTGTGGTCTTAGGAGGAAAAGTATAATTGGCGACGTTTTAGTCAATGACCCTTATTCATAGCTTATAAACATGGACCTTCTTGCATAACCTAAAAGCAAGCGCTGCCCATACCCTAAACTCGACTCGCCAACACCCACATTTGTGGGCCATTTGGGAAAGATTTGGCAGAAAAATACTTTTAAAAAAAACGGTTTTTATTCAAACAAACAACATCGTTGTGCTACATAACGGTGCGATTACCGCACGCAGCGACGTGTATGTGCCCACTTGCGTAACGCGTGTGCGCGTGCGTTTGCGTGTTTCTGTCGTCCATGAGCACTTCACTTTGTGTGTGCGGTTGCATTCCACAGCAAAACAAAATGGAGGCTCCCTTCTTCTTCACGTGCTGTTTTTTCCAGCTTGCATTTCTCTCTCTGTGTACCGATGCGAGCTGCTGACACTGCCGACACGCGGACGCTTCAACCCGAAGCTGAACTTTCATGTGAAATATGAACCCACCGCCTCGATCTCCCCCTTATTGCTCCTTCACCCCCTCTTCTACCCCCCCCCCCCCCTCCAACGCCCCCCCGGTCAGACCGGCAGAAACACGGCCCCATCGCCCCCGCAAGAGGGCAGCTCCTGAAGACTTCTTGGGCAAGGGGTCCCACAAGAAGATCCTCATGGGCAGGTACCTGGCGTACTGGGGACTCTGGGCTTGTAGCAGTTTTTCTACTGCTGGATGAAGGCCTTCCAAAATCCGTCGCACGACATCGTACCATCATCGCCGTCCTCGTCACACCAAGATTGCGAGTTGTTTGGCTTTAAACTTGAGAAATAAAGCAGCACACGGATGAGCAATGATTATTGCCCTTTTCAAAATATACCTTCATGACCTGGGAAACTTGTTATCGTGTGATTGAGACAGCCATTGATGGACAGCTGAATTGCAATAATTTTCAAATCCATCAAGACAATACCGTTTAAGTATTGACAAATATTTGCTCTTATCATCATCACCACCATCATCATCGTCAAGCTACGTCACCATCCGGCTTTTGGTGGATTTTAAGATGTTTGTCCATCCTGCAAATTAAAACGTACGAAGGATGGTAATCGTTTGTGTTTTAAGTTTTCAGATTTCAAGTTTATTTTAGTTTTACCGGGTGAGAATTCGGGAGACCAAGCTAGTCTCATTTGCAAGAGGCAATGAATGTGTGTGTGAGCGTGTGTGTGTGTGAGTGAGTGTGTGAGTGTGTGAGGGGGTGAGTGTGTGAGGGGGTGAGTGTGTGAGTGTGTGTGTGTGGGTGAGTGGGTGAGTGTGAGTGAGTGGGTGAGTGTGTGAGTGAGTGTGAGTGAGCGGGTGAGTGTGTGAGTGTGTGTGAGTTTGTGTGAGTGGGTGAGGGAGTGAGTGTGTGTGAGTGCGTGAGTGTGTGCGTGAGTGAGTGCGTGTATGAGTGAGTGGGTTAGTGTGTGAGTGAGTGTGTGTGTTTTATTTTTTTTTAAACATAATATAAGTTTTAGTTTTATTATTTTATTATTTCTCTTCTACGTTACTTTACCGAAAGAACCAAGAAGAAAAATAGATACTGTTTACCTGTTGACGTGTTCTACTCTAACACCGGTGAGACAAGGCCATACAAAAAGGATGTCTCTGGTGTAGGCCAATCATTTTCAAGGACAATGCATATATTATCAGAGCATGTTTGTATGTCTTGCCACATGTTTGTGTGGTTGATGCAGACTTGATGCCTTGCAAAAGGTATCTTTTTGGTGTTTGTAGATCTTAACACCTGTTTTTTTTGCCAGGAATGGTAAAACCTGATCTTATGTTCCACTAGTTGCAATGACCGTTGCATTGAGTGCTCTGCAGGGACCACTCTTCTCTACTGCTCTTGCTGAGCGCTGTGACCACTTTCTTTGCTGCAGCGACGAGTTGACCCGGCTGTGGAACTTGTGTCCCGACAACATGGAGGCCTGCAAAGCGGAGAGCAGGTAACGACCACCGTCCACGCAAAACTTGCACCTCGGAGGGGGGCGGGGGGGGGGGTGAGTTGGCGAGCTGTGTGGAGAGTTGGTGAGCCGTTACGTGCGGCGGTGGTGAACTGATGAACCTGGTGTGTTTTATGTGGTGTGCTGGAGAGCTGATAAGACACGCAGCGTCTTGGTGAAATTAAACTAAAAAACTATTCTTTTTTTGTACCAGGTAAGGCCCACTGAGCTATGAAGCTCTTTTTAAATCCTTTATATTAAGTTCACTTGCTTGCGCGCTTACGACCGTGCAAATCTTTCGGTCGTTTTTTTACCCACTTCCCGCGATCCAATCGAGCTGACATTTTGCACACAGACTCGTTGTGCATGACAATTAATTTTCGTGAAAAAAAAATTCCTAAATTTTACACTTATTAGGAAAAAATAATTATATGTAATTACCAATTGCTTAATGGTGGCAAACAATCATCTGACCCATAGGTGGCAGCCATCTCAAGCCAGAGGACGAGAGGACTCTAGCCGCCACGCATATAAAGGATTTATAGTGAAAAACTTAGTTTTTACGGGTTAATTTTTTCAGAAGTGACCTGGTCACAAGTGACGGCTCAACAAAGTGGCTTAGGCGCCGTCCATAAATGACGTCACACACGTGGGGGAGGGGGGGGTCAGACATTTGTGACGATGTGTGACGAGGTGAGGGGGGGGTTGAGAAATGTGACGTCACATCAAAATGCGCAACTTTATATAAATATAGAATTGTTATAACAACACTAATTGTTCTAACAACACTTCTACAACATCAGAGTGCAGTGCCACATTAAATAAGCACGACAATGACAATAGTTTAAAGCGATTTGAAGCATGTTTTATTTTCAAAATGGAAATATGGTTTTGGGGGGGGGGGGGGGGCAGAGCTTTGTGACGTCATATTTGAGGGGGGGGGGGGTTCTGACTTTTTATGACGCCGTGTGACGAGGGGGGGGGTCAAAAATCGCCTGACGCCATTTATGGACAGCCCCTTACTGTAGAAATGTACAGCGGCCAGGTACTCTAAACGCATTTTGATTCTAAATGTGGAGGGAAAAACCGGAGGACCCGGAGAAAAATCCACGCAACCGCGGGGAGAACTTGCAAACTCCAAATATACAGGCAGCAGGGTCGGAATTGAACCAACGACCTCCTGTATACCAGGCGAGGTATTTAACATCTCACTGCCGCTCCATCTCCTCAGTGGACGCCCTCGGATACGTTCCGTTCCTCGGCTGCGGCTCCATCATTATACTTGACCATCATCCATTAACCGCTCTAGCGATGTGACCTGCCCAAGCCTATATACAGGAATCGGGGTCAAGCTAAAACCCATGACCTCCTGCACACCAGGCGATGTAGTACACATTGCCACCGTGGCAACCATTTTGAGGATATTGGCGAGCCGGTGAGCTAATAGATCATGGAGCGCTGTAGTGAGCGGGTGGGGGGTGTACTGATGAGGTGTTGACCATTGCTATGTGCTGGTGATCTGTTGTGTGAGCTGCAATGCTGGTGAGTTGTAGCACTGTACTGGTGAGCTGTTTGCCATTGCTCTATCATGGTGAGTCATCAGGTGAGCTGCAATGCTGGTGAGCGGTAGGGGTGTGGAGTACAGGGGAGCTGTTGGTTCTCGCTTTCTGCTCGTGATTTGTCGTGCGAGCTGGATTGCTGTGGCGTGTGCCGTATGGTGGAGCTTGCCGTGGCGGTGAGCTGGTGGTGACCCGCATGGTGGCGCTCGCGTGTCCGCGTGTAGGGAGTTCCTGCCGTCACTGGAGGAGTTCTTCGACGAGGCGATCGAGCAGGCGGACCCCGAGAGCATGGTGGACCGCGAGTACAAGTGAGGAGCGGTGGCGGCGCCCGAGCGAACAACGCGACTGGCTCCCCCCGTGTTGCTGCCATTATTCGATGTTATTTGTTAACGCTGGTTTGCCAGGGAGAAGCCTCCAAAATAAGCATCGTTTGCCAAGTCTCGTGGCTGTCTTTCAGGAGGGTCCTGCCACGTAGGTTTTTGCGGTGGTGGGGGGGGGGGTGGAGGTGGGGGTGGGCGTGATGGTTGTTGTGTACAATCTCAGTTGTGTCATTAGCGGTGACGCCGCCAGATTTGGACTGTGATGCCGACACACAATGGTCGTGATGTGAATAACGTCACGGGGGCTTGACTATGTACTGTGAATTAGACGCCACGTAGTATTTTCAAGGTGAATACACCCGCAGTTGTAACCAGTGCAGGCTGCTAGGTTCAAACCACGAACCATCCGCAACACACAGTGAACAGCTCTGCCACTAGGCCATATCAACCCCCCATGATAATGTCCGTGCTAGCGTTAGCGCTGGCGATAGTTCCAGTAAGCGTGAGTGCGAGTGTTACGGGGGGGGGGCGGTTGCGCAGCGGTTAACGCACTGCGCTCCTGAACCCTGCGACCCGAGTTCGATTCCCGCTCACGGTCAACATCGGCGAGAAGTATCTGGATCGGCACTGGGCCTCCCCCGAGTGCTGCTCTTGTCGGTGCCGGTGTTAGCGGCAGCGCCAGCGCGGGTGCGCCAGTGCCCCTGTCCGAGCTGCCGGTTGTGGTGATGTCGCTCTGTGCCTCCCCTCCACCCACCAGGGTGGTGAACGACTCCAACTACGGGTGGCGCGCGCTGCGTCTGCTCTCCCGCCGGAGCCCTCACTTCTTCCAGCCGACCAATCAGCAGTTCCGCAGCTTGCCCGAGTACCTGGAGAACATCGTGACGCGGCTTGCCAGGGAGATGCCTGTACGCCCTTCACGGACTTCCCCTACCCCCCCTCCTCGTTTCATTCACTTCACCTAGCCATAAATGATCATCTGATGTATGTGTGTTTGTAATGATAGTGGAGAGCGGTGGTGGTGCAGCGGTTGGCGCATTGCACCCTGAACCTTGCCAGCCGAGTTCAATTCCCAGTCGCGGTGGTGACGGCGGCGAATATTTGAACCGGTCCTGGGCCTGCTAGGTCAACTCAGACTTAAATGAGCAGCTGGTGCAGTGTGCAAACATCAGAACTGGGGAGACAAAGGCGGCCGGGAGTGGTGTTGGCCACTCCATCTCCGCGTATGCCGTTCCAGTCTTCATACATCCTCGCTAATAGCACTTGACTCATCAGTCTGTTAAAGGCTATAGAGGTTAGCTTTGTCTTTAGCATTGGTTGCACACTTCACTACCAACCCAGCAGGTTAAGATCGATTCCCAGCCAAGGCTCATAACAGTGTACAATGTAATCTGCACCAGTCACTTGGAACGGGGGTTTCTCAGTGGTGCCTCTGTGATATCCGCGCCTTCTCTGGGAGAGATTCCAATGGATTCTTCATCTGATGACGCCAAGGGGACAATTGGCATAAAATGCGGGGAAAGACGGCAAAATCGTAAACGCATTGCACGCATGTGCGTTATCGTGCCCGTATGAATGTACACATCTGTGAATGTATACCTGCATGTGTGTACCTGTGTTTGTGTGCAGCCTCCGTCAGAGGAAATCAAGACCGAGGATGAGCAAGATAACGATGACGGGCTGCTCAAGGACGGAGACAGTGAGATACGCACGGAGACATGGGGTGGGGGGGGCTGGACAGGGTGGAGGACACGCGGGACATGTAGTTGAACACAAGGTTGAGTTGAAGGACGCACGGGCACACCGAAGTGAGCAGGGACCATCGTGTACAGCGCACGCAAGGACACCCACGCAGCGTCACACAGATCAGTTCAAGAACAAAGAGACGCGGGGACGCGCAGATTGATCGAGAGACGCATGAAGATGAACACAATTGGAGGAAAGTGCAGTTGGCGAGAAACCTAACTTTTCCCATTCCCAGATGTCTGCAAGTTGCAGGGTGGTGTCCCGTTCACCGCTGAATCTCGGAACGTGTAAGCGGTTCAGCGTAAATTTTATTTAGAGGCGTAGTAGCGCTGTTTTTAAAGACATTGCACTCACCGCAGGGAACTGGAGCGAACACGACACATTCTAGACGATGTACATGTACGTCATCAGAGGGTTAAAACTGGCTTGGCACACAGAGAGGGTGGTTGCGTCCGACGCCACGCCGCACAAAACACATTGGCGAGCACGCAAAGCGCTCTCGCTGCCCGACGGTCGGGTGAACTCCGCGTGACGATCGGGTGAACTCCGCGCGACGGTCCGTCCCCCGCAGGCCCCGAGGGCGCCGCACGCGCCGTGACGTCGCGGCACCTGGAGGCGTGCGCTCTGCTGGTGGGCGCGCGTTGGCGAGCGCTCGTGCAGCACCTGCAGAGCGGCGGCGACGACGACGAGGAGGAGGACGGAGAGGGCGGGGCGAAGGCCGGCAGCGCATCCGGACGCGGGGAGGACGAGGACGATGACGAGGAAGGGGCCCTGGAGGCGCTGCTCGCGTGGCAGGAGAGGGAAGGCCCCCGCGCTACTGTGGAGGCCCTGCACACCGCCATCAGCGCCATCGGCTTCTCGCCGCCGTCTGACGGCTCGGAGCCCGACACAGAGGGGGACAGGGATTGAGGGCGGTGGTCGGAGCTGCGGGTGGGGGTAGCGCTGCCCGTGACCGGCTTCTCACGCTGACCCCTGATCTTTGGCCTGACCAAGAACCTGACCCTGAGGTGTTATTGGGAAGGCCGTGTGAGAAGCCCAGTTGTTAACGGGGCCTTGTCTCGAGGGCTTAGTTGGTAGCGCCAGCCGGGCGTAACTTTGACCCTCTGCCTTAGCCTGACGCAGAACCTGATGTCTAAGGCTCTGGGGAAAGATGGGAGTGAAGGGGGACGGATTGAGGGCGGTAGAGAAGATGGAGCAGGCTGACCTTGACCCTTATCTCACCTCGAACCTGACCCTGACGTCATCTAGGAAGGCTATAGGGAGAGCTGGGATGTATCGGAGCCATTGGCTCGAGGTGTTGATGGTTGGTCTTGACCCTAATTACGATACTGGAACGTTGTCGAGATGTTGTTGACTTCCTGATGAGCAGGGACAGCCGGCTCCTGCTTTGGGGCCATGGCTTGAGGCAGGGGTCGCAACCGGGTACCCGATACCCGTACCCTACCCGATACCCGGCTACCCGTTTCCCGGCCGGGTACGGGTACCCGTTTGCGACCCTGGTGCGCCCGGGCACGGGTACGGGTAAGGAATCAAAACCCGTTTGCGACCTCTGGCTTGAGGTGTTTCGCTGTAGTAGGGCGCGTATGTGGGAATGTAGCGCCCCCTTGTGAGCAGATGAGAGGAAACGTCACTTGAACAGATCTCAGAAACAGCTGGCCGATCTCCACTTCGACTGCTGTTTCCACTGCTGCTGCTCTGCATGTGGATGGGGTTTTTCATCGTTCAATGACGTGACTAAAACGCTGGGGCCTTGGCCGCGATAGGGACCTTTGAACATGGCCCTGACCTCACCCTAGATTGTTGTAGACGTGTTACTCTACCCAAGCAGGGACAGCCAGAGTCCTGGGTGCAACGGCCTTAGCCTTTCAAGGCCGTTTACTCCTTCCACCATGTTCACAATTCATCAGGCAGCCAGACCTAAAAGGTCCCAACTCGTTGCCATTATTAGTTTTTAAGAAGTAAGTCCGTCCTTGGTGGAAATTAGCAAAGGGAGCAGCAATCGTATCTGTTGAACAGTCCCTTGTAGAAATTCCATGTTCTTGTGGCCAGCACCATTCTAGCAAAGAGAACCAATCGCTGTTGGCTTCCCACAAAGCAGGACATACTTTATAACGGTGGTGATAAGTATGATGAAGGGTTTGAGTGCCTCACCGTCTACGACTTACGGTAACACAATGTAAGCTCTGTCGTCCTGGCCTCGAAGCAAGGGCGCTTTCGCGGGTCATGTAGCGATGTTTTGTTGTTGAAGTTAGCAGCTGTCCTGTGAATTTTTTTTATTTCCCACAGATCATTTTAACAAAAATCTCGCCCATACCAGCAGCGTGGTTGGGGACACATCAATAAACTTTTGGTAGTTTATTGTTTTGTACCATCTTTCCAGAGATGGCTGCACAATGATAATAAACTCACTTAATCCAGCCACCACACGTCACTCTCGGCACAAATCCTAATTTGTGTACGGATGAGATTTTGTGACGTTATCAAGTTTTTTTTTTCCAAGACCAACCAATCAGGGGGGTGCACTGCCCCCCCCCCCAAATTGTTCGCAGAGCAGAGAAGACGCGCTCTGCTGGGGTTTTGTGATTCTACTCTACAGTACAGTACCCACGTCCTCCTTGGTACGTTTGACATGCAACTGTTTGAAGAGAATGTTTTAATAAAAAAAACTTTGTTTTTAAGAGTTTGACTTAAGTTTACATGGAATGTTTTAAGATTTTTCAGGGTGCTTCACATTTTTTTAAACACTTTTATGGAACTATCGTTTTTAATGGAAATAGAACAGATAATATATACTGTAACATGATAACACATGTGATGTTAATAGCTTCAAAAAGTAAAAGTCTCCACTTGTTCGCCATCATTGTCAACACGTTGCTTGGAATCTTCTCCAGGTGGTCTCTAGAGCCCGGAGTCACGTTTCTGGTGGTTTTGTTGCAAATTCTCCGAAGTGTTCACATTTTTTTGAAGCACCCTGAATATTCAGATTCCAAAGAACACAGGATGAGATGTTACTCTCCTTTGTGCAAGCACTTCCAAGAGTTCATGAACAGTGAGCCTGGTGAAATTTGGGGAGCGCATCGTCAGTAGTGACCCTTTGGTTCCTAGAGTGTTTCGGCCTTTCATACTATACACCCTCCCCAAAGGCGGCCAGCGACAGGGTGATCAATCCTACGCTTGCGTCCCATTCCCAATTAGTCATAGGAGTTGCCTTGTTGTTGGTAGCCAACATCCCATGGGACTATGCATGGCAGGGGCGTCCTCCCTGAGTCAAGTATTGTTGACTGCATACCTCCTGGCCCTCTCACTTTGGGGCCCAGCTGGGGTCTTTCCTCTTCATCCAAACCACTGGTGGTTTTGTTGCAAATTCTCCGAAGTGTTCACATTTTTTTGAAGCCCCCTGAATTTTCACGTCGTACACTTAAGTGGGCATTAATCCTCACCAGCATCATTATGGATCTAGACTTGAAGTTTTCGTGACTGCAGGGGGGATCCATACTCTTTGGTTCTTTCGGTAAAAGTCACGTAGGTAGAAAATTTAATAAATCACAACGTTTCGATTGCAACACAAGCAATCATCGTCAGGTGTGAAAACCACGGCAAGATATTTTTTTCACCGGTCTCACGAAAGCCGGCGAAACGACACGAGAGCGGACGGGACACTTTTGGCGCACTCGGCAGGCACTGAACATTATCCGTAGGCTTTATTTATCGTACCAAATAAAAAAAGCACCGGCATCACAAACGTGAAGAAGACATCGATATCGTAGCTCTCTGCGTGTACCCATGTGATACAACGTGCGCGCAATGAAGGTGACGTCGTCCCGAGACTCGTGGTTTCAGGAGGTTTCCTGCCACCGTTGGATGTTTGGACAATTCCAGAGAGGGTGTTGTGAGTTCTCGATCAGAGCGAGAGAGAGTGGGTAAGGCCTGAGTTATCGAGTGGGTGTCGTGTTCTTGCTCTGGGTTAGAGAGTGTTTGATGAACTCACGTAGGTAAAAATAAAGAATAAAATTTATAGAAATAAAAAAATGCACATTTATTATTTTTTTGTTTTTCTTATTTTATTATTCTTTATTTTTCCCTACGTGACTTTACCGAAAAAACCTAAGAGCATGAATCCTTGCAGTCACGAAAGCTTCAAATCTAGAATGAATAAAAGTGATGAGTTGTGTGTGGCTGGGCTGCAGAGTGGGTTGAGTTCTCGGTCTCGACTCTAGCGTGGGTGTTGAGGTCTCGGTCTGCGCTTTAACTCCGAGCAACTCCTTGGGGGCACAGCTGTGACCCAAACGCGCGTGCAGACCAACAGAATCACCGCTTCCTCTCAATATATACGATATTCTCACCTATCTAGATTTGAAGTTTTCGTGACTGCAGGGATCCATACTCTTTGGTTCATCATCGGGTGGGATGACTGCTTGTGTTGCGATCGAAACGTCGTGATTTTATTGATTTTATTTTATACCTATGTGACTTTACCGAAAGAACCAACGAGTATGGATATTGCCACCTGTCAAAAGTGTACCAGACCGTTCACACGTGCGTGCAGATGACACCTCTTAGTGCACAGTATATGCGTACAAAAATACAGTAATTACATATGTAGCTACCTACCAATAGTAGCCGATGCATCGGAGAGAATGCATTTGCAGGTATATTACGACACCTGTTGCAGCGTGCGTGTGTGTGTATGTGTAAAGGAGTGAGTGACGTCGGTGGGAGACCCTGTGGGACGGTGACGTCAGAACCCTGTCCCCTGGGGAGTAGAGTCAAGGGCGTCCCTTGTTCGGCGTAAGCCCCCAAATCAATTCTAGATTTGAAGCTTTCGTGAATGCAAGGATTCATATTCTTAGGTTTTTTCGGTAAAGTCACGTAGGTAAAAAATTAAAATTAACAAAATAAAAAATCACGACGTTTCGGAGACAACACAAGCCTCCGTCTTCAGGTGGACCCGTCACAGCCCGAAAGCTGTATCAAGTACAATTTTTGTTTTACTTTTTTACATTTTTACTTGATACAGCTGTCGGGCTGTGACGGTTCCACCTGAAGACGGAAGCTTGTGTTGCCTCCGAAACGTCGTGATTTTTTATTTTATTTTACTTTTATTAATTTAAATTTTTTACCCCCAAATAAACTTCGCGTGAGCCCCCTACGCCACCACACGTGTATGTATACATACCCCCTGACCAAACGTGTGATTATGTCTGGCGAGGCCCGTGCATTTTTTCTTGTGTATATGTGCACAGGTTGTAGAACGTATCATTTGTATATATATATTCTTAGGTTTTGTCCACGATAATCATAGATAAAAATACGGTTTTCTTTGAATTTCTCTAACTTGATACAGCTATCGTGATGTGACTGTTCCACCTGAAGACGGAAGCTTGTGTTGCCTCCGAAACATCGTGATTTTTATTTTATTTTTATTTTACTTTTATTAATTGTAATTTTTTTTAACCTACGTCACTTTACCGAAAAAACCTAAGAATATGAATCCTTGCAGTCACGAAGGCTTCAAATCTAGACATTTGTATATATATATACCCCCGAGTGGTGACTACATCACTGTGTGGGATCGTTTCACTTGTAGTGTACACATGTACAGAAATATGTATGTAGCTACTTGGCAAAACACGCACGCGCATTCGTCGATCAAATTGGTGATGATTGATGCAGCTGAATTGGTGGCAGTGGTGCACAGTTAACAACACATTCATCAATAATAATACATGTAATGGGTGACGTTTCGGGAAATGGCCCTTCGTCAGTCATGTGCAATGAAGAAGGCCCATAGCCCGAATCGTCACCTCTTGTATATAGTTTTCCGATACGTTTTTGTATTAAGGCCACGGCGTTTGTTGACGAGTGTGTCGAGATTTGTGCACAAGTAGAACCTGTGCGTGAATGTGTTACCTTTTATCGTGATTATTGTGGACAATCCGGGGGCTTCATTTCAGCCGGGTCTGTCCGGGATCCGAAACCCGGAAGATATTTGCTCACCCGGCACATCACATCCAGTATACACGTCTCGATATATGTCTGTGGCTACTCGTCACGTGCGTTTCTCTAGTCTACCAGTCACCTGGGAAATATAAAATGAGAATGTAAGCCTTGGCTACACCAATATATCGATGTACACATACAAACTGAGAAAGATCGATCGACCTGGGAATGTCTAAATTGCCTGCCGAGTGGGCGCTTGTGGGTCAGAAGCCAACATGCGGGAGTGGGGTCACTCTAGCGGCTCACTCTCCTACTTCGTCATCCAAGTGCTGTTAGCGAGTAGCACGTGTCAAGAAGGCCGGCACGGCACACGAGGGGGTGGGTGGCCAGAACCGCACCCGGTCACACACACACTCACTCACGCATCCACTCACACACACTCACACACACACACTCGCACACTCACATCCACACTCACTCACGCACTCACACTCACTCATACACTCATACACACACACTCACACACTCGCTCACACACTCACATCCACACTCACTTACGCACTCACACTCACTCATACACTCATACACACACTCACTCACACACTCACGCATCGACGCACACACTCATACACTCACACACACACTCACACACTAACTAACTCACACACACACTCACACACACTCACACACTCATACACAATCACACACACTCATCAACACTCACTCACACACTGACTCACTCACTCACACACTCACTCACACACTCACCCACTCACGCACTCGCGCACACTCACGCACTCAGCAAGTCACCAAGTGGGAGGAGCGAGGCTCCCTCGAGCGACGGCGAGGCCCCCGCGTGTGACTGCGGTGAGACAGACCGCGTAGCGTCTCTTGCTCCGTCTCCTCCGGGGAGGAGCCGTGCACCGTGGCGGGGTACCTCGCCAGGGCTACAGGCCGGGCCTCACCACAACTACAACCATCATCATCCTCACGAGCCATGCTCTATCCACTGCTAACGACCTCCAGCCTCGAACCAGCGGTGGCCATACTCTTAGATTTTTTCGGTAAAGTCACGTAGGTAAAAAAAAAATAATAAATGTAAATAACTAAATTAAATCAATACGTTTCGGAGGCAACACAAGTCTCCGTCTTCAGGTGGGACCGTCACCTGAAGACGTGATTTAATTGAGTTATTTTCATTTATTTTTATTTTATTCTCTTTTTACCTCCGTGACTTTACCGATGAAACCTAAGAGTATGAATCCCTGCCGTCACGAAAGCTTCAAATCTAGAATCAGCGGTGGCCAATTCGTGGATGGCAAAGAGATTTTGTTTGTGGATCTCAGGACAAATCAGAACGCCGCCATAAGTCGACAAAAATAACACTGGTCAACAAAAAAAACACATTTTTTTTGGCCTGGACTTTTGCAGCTGTTTTAGACTAATTTCAGGGTGCTGATTCCAAATCTGATCTCAGATTTGCTCTATCACATCTCATTTTATGCTATCGGCATACCCCATTTTCATTGATTTTACCCGAAATTAACTCTGTCACTTATGATTGCAAGTTGTTGCGAGTCAGTGACTGCTTTAGTGTCAAAACATGGTGCTGTATTTTTAGGATAGTGTGTTTATAATATCATTTTATGTAGATATCCACATTTATTTAATATTTTTCTTCTGCAGTTTTTATTGAAAATGCAATATTTGATATCTCAAAAACCTGATGTGATAGACAAAAACCGATGCCAGATTTGGAATCAGCACCCCAAAATTACCTTAAACCCGTTGGAATACCTTATGCCAGAAAAATAGTGTGTTGCACAGTGTTATTGATGCGCCTGATGGCAAATGTAAATTCCCGACGAAAGGACACATCCGTTAAGCCAGTGGTTCTCAAACCTTTTTCTTTTGGCGACTGTTACCCCCCTTGTTGAATTTAGTTTGCCTGACCCAACATGGTCATGAGAAATAAATGTTCGAAAAATGAACATCAAGTAGTTTAACCAATTGTCCATTTTCTTGGTTCTTTCCGTAAAGTCACATAGAAGGGAAATAATAAAATAATAAAAAGAAAACATAATAAAATACAAGTGAGAATTGTATTTTATTATGTTTTCTTTTTATTATTTTATTATTTCCCTTCTACGTGACTTTACCGAAAGAACCAAGAAGATGAATCCCTGCAGTCACGAAAGAAGCTTTAAATCGAAATTCAATTGTCCATTATTGCGAAGCATCCTAACTAGCTCGTAACTGCAAGAAAATACTTTTTTAAAGATCTTGGAAACCACAATGGGTTTAGAAAGGTATTTTATATGAATCTAGGTTACCATATGGATTAAAATATTTTTTACCGTAGTTAATTTATATTGGCAGATTCATGCGTGATTAATCACCAATGATTCTCACGCATGATGTAATTTCACACGTTTATAAATCACCACACGTACCACCGGCTGAGAACCACTGCGCGTTAAGTTGTAACTTTTATTACCTACTAGCTGTAGCTACCCTGCTTCGCCCGGGACTTGGATTCACCACACCCGGCCGCCTTTGTCTCCCCAGTGGCGATGTTCACACCACAGCAGTTACTCGTTTGAGGCTGAGTCGACCTAGGAGAGGCCCAGGACCGGTTCAAATAATCGTCACCGGTGGTGGCCGTGAGCGGAAATCGAACTCGGGTCGCCGGGTTCGTAGCGCAGCGTGGCGCTAACCACTAAACTACAATGCGTTACGCTGCCACGTGCGCGGGGCACGTGACAGATGTGACGTCACAGCTCACTTGCCGTGCAAAAAATAAATGCATTATTGAGCTCCCCCCCAAAAAAGTGTATTTTAATAATATTTGCACGGTGTACAGTCTGGAAAGTACCCACATGGCAAATTCCCAGTTTGTTGCATGTCGGGAAGTACGCTAAACATTTTGAACATATTCACAACTTTGCCTTTTATATATATGCGGGGATAAATGTCGTTAGTCCTTGACATGTCCGTAGTACAATGTTACAGGGCTACATCAATCGCCGGTGATTGTTTAGCGGCAGCTTAGGGGACGTCCATAAATGACGTCACGCGATTTTGGACGATTTTTGACCCCCCCCCCCCCCCCCTTCGTCACACGTTATAAAAAGTCAGACCCCCCCCCCCTGAAATATGACGTCACAATGCTCTGCCCCCCCCCCACCCCCCCAAACATAAAACATGCTTCAAATCGCTTTAAACTATTGTCATTGTAGTTGCGTATTTAATGTGGCGCTGCACTCTGATGTTGTAGGAGAAAACATTTATTAAAAAGTCTATTAAGTAGAACGTGTTGTTTATATTTATTTAAAGTTGCGCATTTTGATGTGACGTCACATTTCTCACCACCCCCCACCCCCCTAGGTGCGTGACGTCATTTATGGACGACCACTTTCTGGTGGTGGATCGCGACGGATCCCCTTGAGAGCCAGTAGCTCGCTGTGTCAGCCACCTCTGCCGTGTCGGCTGCGAATTGAATCTGTCCACAAAACGTGTCCGAAAGTGCCCGTATATCCCTCCGTACCTATAGCAAGCGACGTGTGTGTGTGTGTGTGTATATGTACTTCGCCGGGCGTGGTGCTGGCCACCCACCCCCTCGTGTACCGTTCTGGCCTTCATATGTGCTCGCTAACAGCACTTGCCCCTACAGTCTGTGCAGGCTATACGGGGGATCTTTATCTACTTCACGTGGTCTCAAAGTGCACCTGGCCTGGCACAGACGCCTTGGTGAAGTCACCGTCACTTCGTGGCGAATGGCGGGGTCGTGGTATTGGTATTAAGGGGAGCGGTAGTGTAGCGGGTAGTGTAGCGGGTAGTGTAGCGGGTAGTGTAGCGGGTAGTGTAGCGGATAGTGTAGCGGGTAGTGTAGCGGGTAGTGTAGCGGGTAGTGTAGCGGGTAGTGTAGCGGGTAGTGTAGCGGATAGTGTAGCGGGTAGTGTAGCGGGTAGTGTAGCGGGTAGTGTAGCGGATAGTGTAGCGGGTAGTGTAGCGGGTAGTGTAGCGGGTAGTGTAGCGGGTAGTGTAGCGGGTAGTGTAGCGGGTAGTGTAGCGGGTAGTGTAGGAGTTCGATTCCCGTTCACGGCGTAACAGCAGTGACGATTATCTGAACCGCTCCTGGTGCGGCGTGTAGTAAACGTCGCCACGCTGGGGAGACAAAGGCGGCCGAGCACCTTTACTGGTTCATGCTCGAAGTTTTTTCGGTAAAGTCACGGTCCCACCTGATGACGGAGACTTGTGTTGCCTCCGAAACGTCGTGATTTTTTATTATTTTATTTTTATTAATTTCATTTTTTACCTACGTGACTTTACCGAAAAAACTAACAGTATGAATCCTCGCAGTCACAAAAGCTTCAAATCTAGAAGCTTTACTGGTCACCAACTCCCTCTTCGTGGCGTGCCGGCCTTCATAGGGTGGTGCTACTCGCTAACAGCACTTGCCCCGACGGTCTGTTCAGGCTACACGGGTGGCGGATCTCTATCTTTGTTTTCGTAGCTACTGCCAAATGTGTATGGGGAAGGGTTCACGTGGAATGTGCGCTGCAGCTCCCCTGCCTCCTCATCACACGCACCCACAGCGTACAATTCTGTGGACCGGTGCATTTCATTCGAGATTTGAAGTTTTTGTGACTTCAAGGATCCATACTCTGTGGTTCTTTCTCTATCCCCCCCCGCCCCCCCTGGCTCACCCCCCCCCCCCCTCTTGCCTTATATAATATCTTGTAACGAGCAGCTTTTGTCCACTCCAGCAAATTAGTTCTTGCTGTGGCTGTTCCCACCTGATGACGGAGGCTTGTGTTGCTTACGAAACGTCGTGATTTAATTGAGTTATTTTTATTATAATTGTTTTCACCTACGTGACTTTACCGAAAGAACCAAAGACTATGGTGCATTTCACTTTGCTCGCACCGCTGTCGAATCTCGTCACGTACCCGTGTACCGCACGCTCTGTGGCGACCTACCGTACGCGTCGTGAGTCATAGTTGGATTATTACCTGGGAGCTGTTCAACTTCTTTCGCGCCGTACGTCGGCAACCGTGCTAATCAGAAGTGCGGGGGATAGACATATACATATGTATATACACGTGTCACTCGGCATGTGTATTACCTGCATGTATCAGCACATGTATGGACCTCTATCTCCATACATACATGCATGTACCTGTCACACTTCACATGTGCATACCTAATTGTCGCTGTGCATATATGGCTCAGGGAACAATGGCTGTCTCTTTGCGAGCCCTTGCTGTCCCCCAACTGCCTGACCCCCCGTGTCCCCTGCGGTAGTGTTTGTGAACGTGATCCTCGCTACCTGCCAGACACGTCCGCAGGCCCCCGTGCGGCTCCTACGAGGGGCTGGCCCTGCTGCCGCCCGGCGGCCCCACGGGCCCCGGCTCGCCGGGCGGCCCCGGGGTGCCCGGCATCCCGGCGAGGCCCCTTTCGCCCGGCAGCCCGAAGTTCCCCGGCGGCCCCGCCGGGCCGGGCGGCCCAGCGGCCCCCACGGGCCCGGCCGGCCCCGGCGGCCCCGCTGAACCCTCGTCCCCCACGGGGCCCGGCGGGCCCTGCTCCCCGGGGTCCCCCTTGATCCCGGGGCTTCCGGGCGGGCCCTGTCGGGCCAGGCTGCCCTTGGAGCCCGTAAGGCCCGGAGCCCCCTTGGGGCCCTGCTTGCCCTTCTCCCCTGGTGGGCCTTGGTCGCCGGGCCTGCCGGGCTCGCCCGACGGGCCCTCTGGCCCGTCGTTGCCTGCGTCGCCCTTGTCGCCTTTGGGGCCCGGGCTCCCCGGTGGGCCCCTGATGCCGGCATCCCCCTTGGGGCCCGCGGGACCTGCAGGCAGCACGTGGCGTGGGGGGGGAAGGCGGGGCGGGTATGACAAGGGGAGAGGGGTTAAGGTTGGTTGTGTCGGAACTGATGAGATCCTGCGGTCGAGAAAAACCCGATCCTTGAATCTAACACCGACATGACTTGTTGACTGGAACTCGATCTGCGGACCCCACTGAACTCCCAACTCGACCTCCTGATGCTCCGCCAGTGTATCACCTGAACCTTCACCCCACCCGACGACTTTGTACCCATTGGATTCTGGGCTCCACAGCTCCGTTTGGGGATTTCTCAAAGGGGTTCATAATGGCTGTGTCAGAGCACTGATCTAGCACTATTGAGAGTATGCAGTCGAGATGAGTACTGGATGGCTCACCATCACGGCCTGGTAAATATGTGCACATTATCACCTGATATGGAGGAGGCAATCAGACTCAAGGTTAATGTCCAGGCCAGTCTTTCGTTCCATCCCATTCGGTCATATCACGCAGTCCGTCCAGTCATCCGTGTTAGTCCAGTCCCGTGTTCTATGCAATCCAGTCCGGCCGCACCTGCCCCGCTGCCACTACAGCTGCCACCCCCCCCCCCCCCCGGCTCACCCCGCAGCAGCGTGAGGTTGCGGTAGAGTTGGTCGTGGTAGACGTCCACCCGGCGCAGCTCCTCCGCCACCACCGTGAGGTTCGCCACCTCCACGTCGAGGCGGCGCTGCAGGTCGCCGTGCGCCGCGAGCAGCGCCGCCGCGTCGTCGCGCAGCCTCGCCAGCGTCTCGTTCACCAGCGCCAGCTCCTCCGCCCGCGGCTCCGAGCGCCCCCCGCACGCCTCCCGCACCTGCCCCAGGTACGCGGCGACGCCGCGCAGGTGCCGATCCGTGCCGTTGACGGCGCCGCGAACGGCGGCCAGCTCGGCCTCGCGCGCGTCCACTCGCCCGTCCAGCGCCTCCAGCCGGGACGCGGCCAGCGCCTCGGCGCGCCGCAGCCGCTCGCCCAGCTCGAGCAGCGCGTCATCCCGCGCGGCGCACTCGGCGCTGACGTTGGCGAGCTCCCCGCCCAGCTCCGCCGCCTGCGCCCTCGCGTCGCCCGTCGCCTCCTCCGAGCGCCGCAGCAGCTGCGCCGCCTGCGCCGACGCGGCCCGGAGGCCCGCGACAGCGCCGCGCAGCTCGCCCTCGCCGGCGGCGCCGCGCTCCAGCAGGCGGCTGAGGTTGCGCAGCCGGCCCCGCGCGCCGTCCGCGTCCCAGCCGAGGCGGGCGGCCGCCGCCTGCGCCGCCGCGGTCAGCGCCGCCTGGCGCCGCAGCTCGGCGTCGAGGCGCCGCAGCGTGACGTTGTGGGCGGCGTGGGCGGCGGCGGCGCGGGCCACCGAGTCCTCGAGGGCGCCGACGGCGGCGCGCAGGGCGGCGTCGCCCGAGCGCCGCTCCTCCAGCGTGCGGTCGAGCGCCAGCAGCAGCGAGCGCGCCGAGTCGGCGTCGGAGCGGGCGGCGCCCAGGGCCACGGCGGTCGAGCGCTGGGAGGCGTCGGCCAGCGCCAACGCGTGGGCCTGCGCCTCGGTGGCCGCCAGCGCGTGCCGCGCGTCGCTCTGCAATTCCCACATCTCGTGGCGCAGGGACGCGATGGCCGATGAGGTGGAGCGGTTGTGCCAGGTGGACTGCTCGTCTGCGCACGGCCGAGAGGGAGGCAGAGACGGGGGGGGGGGGGGGGGGGACGAGCGAGAGAGGCGCGGGTGGGAGATGTCGTCAATCTCAGCCGGGTGGCGCGAGTGCCGAGTCGAGCGTGGGAGTGTACGACGAGACGGCGCGTGGCAGCATTCACCCTCAGGCACAAAACCCCTAGGGCCCCTGCTGGGAAAAACCCCCAAGCGAGCCCCCTTCCTAGGGGTCCCTCCTGGAAAGCCCCCGTGAGAGAGCCCCTTGACAGTCAACGTCGATCTGCTGCAGCCATGAGGCCGACCTCTTAACCTCCCTGTATCCTGTCCCCCTGTGCCCTCTATTATTTCCCCTGTCCCTGTGCCTCTCCCTGTATCCCCACGTGTCTTCCCACATCTACCCCTGTCTCCCTCTGTCTCATCCCCATCTCACCTGTGCCTCCCCCTGTATCCCCCCATGTGTAGGCCTCGTCAAGGTAAGGTAAAAACAACGAGCCTACCTTTACCCTACCTTTTACCCTTACCCCATACAAATGACCGGATTACAGGGTAATTACTGGGGTACTACACATGAAAAGGTTTATAACAGGTAAATGCTCGGTAGAGCGCTTTATTCATATAGAATACTCTCGATGATTCCAATTAAAAATGGAGGCCTCGGACTGCGCCACGGAGCTTTTAGTGAGTGGTAAACAAGGTATTCACCGGGTAATTTTTCCGCGCTACCTTTACCCTACCCTTTACCTTACCCCTCGGCATGTTGACACCTTTACCTTTACCCCTTTTACCCGGTAAAAAGGGTAAATGACCTTACCTTGCCGAGGCCTACCCATGTGTCCTCCCATGTCTGCCCCCTGTCTCCCTCTGTCTCATCCCCATCTCACGTTGTGCCTCCCGCTCCCGTCTCGCCGTGTCTCACCTGCGTCTCTCAGGCTGGACTCCACGCTGGCGAGTTTGGCCGTGTAGTTTGTTTGCACCGAGAGGATGTCTCTCTCCAGCAGGTCCATCTTGGCCATGGCTGCGGGCATGGGACGGACGCGAGACGGACAGACGGACGGACATGGACACAGGAGAATACAGAAGAAGAAAAAGGAATGTAAGTATTCGTGGTACAATCAGTCGGTAGGCCTCTGACATGAACGGTGTTGACAAGTCTTGTGTCACATGTCATCTTCCTGTAATAGTTCCTGGAGCAATAGGGTTAGGGACTCGTGGTATAAAGTCAACTGTTGCTGCAGCGTTCGTGTTAAGGGCCGGTGTTGTATAATAAAGGTCGTGGAAGCGTGACTTCTGGAATCCGGTCTTTATTTGTCTTTCGTTCACAACACTCCCATCTTACTCCTTCACGCTGCTGACAGACAGCGTGAGAGGGAGAGAGAGAGAGAGACACGCGCGGCCACGTAGCAGCCTGAACCACGTGGGCAGCCTGGACCACGTGGCAGCCTGGACCACGTGGCAGCCTGGACCACGTGGCAGCCTGGACCCCGCTCCAGCGTGGCCTCACCCTCCGTTCGTTCCAGATCTGACCAAGTGTTGTTCATCTCCACCCTTTAAATACCTGAGTCACGTGGTACCTTTCCACCAATCCTGGTTTGCCTCTATGGAATCTTCTAGACTCCATGGTGCGCTTCCAGGACCACACCCCTGACTCGTCCCCCCATTGGCTGTGGCTAAAGCCAGCAGAACCAATCCTCTACTTACAGATGTCACCTTGCCATTGCGTAAGGGCCACGCCCCTAGACTTCTCCCCATTGGCTATGGGCCAGGACCGGCAGAGCCAATCATCGTACGAGGTGTAATCCAACAACAACCCGGATATGTCCTCACATTACAGTTGTACGAGTGACGACGGGGCTAGCGGCAGGCATGTGCCAGGTGTCAGTGTTTGGACGATGGGGCTAGCGGCAGGCCTGTGTTAGTGTTCCCACTGTGTCAGCGCTAGCGCGGGTGGTGTTGGCGGCGTACCAATGGAGCCGAGCGCGGCGAGCGTGACGGCCAGGGCGGCGCACACCACGTAGAGCAGCACCACGGCGCTCTTCAGCACCCAGGGGTCGTGGTGCCGGCCACAGCATCCACGCGCTTCTTGGATTCCTGCAGCAGACGGGAAAAAAATAGCGCGCACACAGCTGGGGTGACGGGGGTGTAGATGATGCAGTTGGTGGTGGTGGTGGTGGGGGAGTGATGTTTATTTATCATCATCATTAGACCTCCTTTGCCAGTACCAAAATATAATAATATGGTTTTTCCCCTTTTTTCCGGCAACAAAACTGACACCTTTTTACAAGGATTCATGTCTGCATTAACCACAATACTTGCAGTCAAAATGCAAACAAAAACATACTATGATAATATACGCATTGTCCTTGAAACTGATTGGTCCACACCAGGGACGGCTATCATAGTATGTTTATTGTTTTGCATTTTGACTGCAAGTATTGTGGTTAATGCAGACATGAATCCTCGTAAAAAGGTTTCAGTTTTGTTGCCAGAAAAAAGGGAAAAACCCTATTAATATGTTTATTTCACGATGCATTACGCTTGTTTAGGGTTCCAATCTCGCATGCGTGGCTTCTTGTCCGAGCGCTCAAGTTTCCTCCCGCGTGTGAACGCTCAGTAACTGATGGGTGACACCTTAATATACATGGAGGAACGCAGAGCTCGGGCAATTTGTTGCTGCTGGCGGTGGCGGCGGCTCATTGCGTGGCTGCTGCCTTTCCCGCTCCTCGTCTGTGGTTTCTCGTTCTGGTGCCTCTCTCTCTCTCGACGAGAGCGAGCGAATGCCGTGCGATGGTGGCGCGTTCGTTACAAGTTGAATTGTTTATTCAAAGGGTGTACGTCGTCACCTTCTCACGTGACCCTTTTTCAGGAGCGTCCTGACAAGTTTTTGCACTGGGGGGGAATGGGGGGGAGGGATGATCGATAGGTCGAATGCAACCGAGTAATCTGCGGGTACGTTTGAAAGATTTTGCCAAATTTAGACCGTGACGCCAGCACACAACGGACTACTCTTGCGAATGACGTCAGGGGATCTTTAACGTCTGTAGTATATGTACGGTCTATGCACCTGCAGTATTAACCAGGGCGGCTGCTAGAATCGAACTGTGAAGCTCTGCAATAAGCAGTGAATGCGTCCCCACGAGGCCACGTGTGATGATAATGATGGGAATTATCATCATCATGGTGGGATGATGCTGCTATTACTGCTGATGATGAAGAGGATGATGAGATGATGGTGATGATGATGTGGGTGCTGATGATGAGGTGGATGAAGAGGATCTGATTTTAATGACGACGATGCTGCTACTTATGATGATGCTGATGCTTCAGCTGCTGTTCGTGAACATGATGATGCCGAGAATGCCCGCTGATGCTGCCGCTGTTGGATGATCACGGAGATGTTTATGCTGCTACTGACGACGCTACTGATGACGATGATAGTGATGGTGCTTCTGATGCTACGAATGATGTTGCCGCTGCCGTGAATGATGATGATGTTGCTGCTGCTGCTGATGATGAAGATGTTGGCGATGATGTCACTGCGTGTCCTCGGTGCCGCTCGTACCAAAACGCTTGTACCCGAAGGATGAGGCATCATCCTCGTCGCCCGCGTCTCCGTCTGCACAGGCGGAAGAGCCGACAATGTCACAGCGAGGGTGGGGGGGGGGTCAGTGGTTGGAGGGGGGCAGGTTGGGGGGGGGGCAGGGGACACGGGGTCAGGAGGTCAGGCAGTTGGGAGAAATCAGGGGCTCGCAAAGAGACAGCCATTGTTGCCTGACCTATCCATGCGCAGCAGCAACAAGTTGGTTTGCACACTGAACCGCTTTTTGTGTTCTTTGTCCTTCCCCCGCCCCGCCGATCAGCGCGGTTGGCTACGTACGGTGCGAAAGAGGTTCAATATATATACATCATGTGTAGTGTGACAGAGGTACATGCATGTATAGAGATAGAGGTCTACACGTGTCCTGAGATATGAAAGTATATAGTGCATAGTGACATGTATATTACACGTGTAATGACAGGGTGAGACCTGCCGGCCTGTAAGGGTCATTACGGCTATAGCTGCAATACATAACGCCTTAAATTTCGATTTAAAGCTTTCGTGACTGCAGGGATGCATCTTCTTGGTTCTTTCGGTAAAGTCACGTAAAAGGGAAATAATAAAATAATAAAAATAAAACAATAAAATCATTCTTACGACGTTTCGGCCACAACGCAAGCAGCCATCCTCAGGTGAAGAACAGGTCACCTGAGGACGGCTGCTTGCGTTATGGCATGTGTAGCTATACACGTGTGTGCATGTGTACACGTGTGTGCATGTGTACACGTGTGTGCAGGTGTACACGTGTGTGCAGGTGTACACGTGTGTACACGTGTGTGCATGTGTACACGTGTGTGTAGGTGTACACGTGTGTGTAGGTGTACACGTGTGTGCAGGTGTGTGTAGGTGTACACGTGTGTGCAGGTGTACACGTTTGTGCATGTGTACACGTGTGTACACGTGTGTGTAGGTGTACACGTGTGTGCATGTGTACACGTGTGTGTGTGTACACGTGTGTGTAGGTATACACGTGTGTACACGTGTGTGTAGGTGTACACGTGTGTGCGTGTGTACACGTGTGTGCATGTGTACACGTGTGTGCAGGTGTACACGTGTGTGTAGGTGTACACGGTGTACACGTGTACACGTGTGTACATGTGTGTGCAGGTGTACACGTGTGTGTAGGTGTACACGTGTGTACACGTGTGTAGCTTGCAACCCTTTGCCCCTCCCCCGCTCCGGTGCGCACAGCTGGCGCGCACGTGTCCCGGCCCCGGCGACCCCGTGACCACGGGGCCCCCACGCGCTCCGCGGTGCGGAATCGATTCCTCGCAACGTCACCGCCCGCCTGTGTTCATCGCGGCGATTCAAACAACGGAATCGATTGACGATCCACGATCGCTCTTCGATTCCTTATTCGTGTTAACGGGGCTTCGGATTCAACATTCGGGAGCCGTTATTGAGCCGTAAGCTTAGACTTGACGTAACGTTAGGGGCTAGGGTTAGAGCTTAGACCTTTATCTTAGGGCTAGAGCTAGGGACCGTCCATAAATGACGTCACGTACGGTTGAGAAATGTGACGTCACACTTTAAATAAATACAGACAACACGCTCTACTTAATGAAATCTACTTTGTAATAAATGTTTCTCCTACAACATCAGAGTGCAGCGCCACATTAAATACGCACTACAATGACAATAGTTTAAAGCGATTTGAAGCATGTTTTATTTGGGGGGGGGGGGGGGCAGAGCTTTGTGACGTCATATTTGAAGGGGGGATCTGACTTTTTGTGACGCCGTGTCACGAGGGGGGTGGGGGTCAAAAATCGTCCAAAATCGCGTGACGTCATTTATGGACGGTCCCTTAGGGCTAAAGTTGCAGTTCGAGTTAGTTCTAGATTTGAAGTTTTCGCGACTGCAAGGATCCATGCTCTTTGTTTTTTTCGGTAAAGTCACGTGGGCAAAAAATAAAATAAATTAAAATGAAAACAAATAAATTTAATCACGACGTTTCGGAGGCAACACAAGCTTCCGTCTTCGAAACTTCGTGATTTAATTTATTCGTTTTCATTTTAATTTATTATATTTTTAACCTACGTGACTTGACCGAAAAAAACAAAGAGTATAGCTAGTTAGGGGTTAAAGTTAGAGCTAGAGTTAGGGGTTAAAGTTAGAGCTGGAGTTAGGGGTTAAAGTTAGAGCTAGAGTTAGGGGTTAAAGTTAGAGCTAGAGTTAGGGGTTAAAGTTAGAGCTGGAGTTAAGGGTTAAAGCTACAGCTTCAGTTAGGGGTTCAAGTTAGAGCTAGAGTTAGGGGTTAAAATTACAGCTGGAGTTAGGGGTTAAAGGTAGAGCTGGAGTTAGGGGTTAAAGTTAGAGCTGGAGTTAGGGGTTAAAGCTACAGCTGGAGTTAGGGGTTAAAGTTAGAGCTGGAGTTAAGGGTTAAAGTTAGAGCTGGAGTTAGGGGTTAAAGTTAGAGCTGGAGTTAGGGGTTAAAGTTAGAGCTGGAGTTAGGGGTTAAAGTTAGAGCTGGAGTTAGGGGTTAAAGTTAGAGCTGGAGTTAGGGGTTAAAATTAGAGCTGGAGTTAGGGGTTAAAGTTAGAGCTGGAGTTAGGGGTTAAAGTTAGAGCTGGAGTTAGGGGTTAAAGTTAGAGCTGGAGTTAGGGGTTAAAGTTAGAGCTGGAGTTAGGGGTTAAAGCTACAGCTTCAGTTAGGGGTTAAAGTTAGAGCTAGAGTTAGGGGTTAAAATTACAGCTGGAGTTAGGGGTTAAAGTTAGAGCTGGAGTTAGGGGTTAAAGTTAGAGCTGGAGTTAGGGGTTAAAGCTACAGCTGGAGTTAGGGGTTAAAGTTAGAGCTGGAGTTAGGGGTTAAAGTTAGAGCTGGAGTTAGGGGGTTAAAGTTAGAGCTGGAGTTAGGGGTTAAAGTTAGAGCTGGAGTTAGGGGTTAAAGTTAGAGCTGGAGTTAGGGGTTAAAGTTAGAGCTGGAGTTAGGGGTTAAAGTTAGAGCTGGAGTTAGGGGTTAAAGTTAGAGCTGGAGTTAGGGGTTAAAGCTACAGCTGGAGTTAGGGGTTAAAGTTAGAGCTGGAGTTAGGGGTTAAAGTTAGAGCTGGAGTTAGGGGTTAAAGTTAGAGCTGGAGTTAGGGGTTAAAGTTAGAGCTGGAGTTAGGGGTTAAAGTTAGAGCTGGAGTTAAGGGTTAAAGTTAGAGCTGGAGTTAGGGGTTAAAGTTAGAGCTGGAGTTAGGGGTTAAAGTTAGAGCTGGAGTTAGGGGTTAAAGTTAGAGCTGGAGTTAGGGGTTAAAGTTAGAGCTGGAGTTAGGGGTTAAAGTTAGAGCTGGAGTTAGGGGTTACAATTACAGCTGGAGTTAGGGGTTAAAGTTAGAGCTGGAGTTAGGGGCTAAAGTTAGAGCTGGAGTTAGGGGTTAAAGTTAGAGCTGGAGTTAGGGGTTAAAGTTAGAGCTGGAGTTAGGGGTTAAAGTTAGAGTTAGAGTTAGGGGTTAAAGTTACAGCTGGAGTTAGGGGTTAAAGCTACAGCTTCAGTTAGGGGTTAAAGTTAGAGCTAGAGTTAGGGGTTAAAGTTAGAGCTAGAGTTAGGGGTTAAAGCTACAGCTTCAGTTAGGGGTTAAAGTTAGAGCTAGAGTTAGGGGTTAAAGCTACAGCTTCAGTTAGGGGTTAAAGCTACAGCTGGAGTTAGGGGTTAAAGCTACAGCTAGAGTCAGTTTGGGAGCTTAGGTTAGGGCTAGAGTTAAGATTAGGGCTATAAATAGAGCTAAGAGTTAGGGTTTGGGATACTTTTAGGCTTAGGGCTAAAGGTAGGGTTAGAGCTAGGGCTGTGGGTTATAACCAGGAGGTTAGAGTTACGGGTAAAAGCTAGGATTATGCATCGGTGTTAGGTTTAGGGATGAGGGTTAACGTTATTGGTTAGGTTTAGCGCGAGGGATAGTGGTTTGGTTTACTGCTCGGGTTAGCGGTGTGTTTTAGTGCTCGGGTTAGGGGTTAGGTTTCGTGATAGGGTTCGAGCTATGGTTAGGAATATGGCTTAGGTGAACTGCTCTGGTTAGAGCTATACTGAAAGCTCCAAATTAAGCTATACTGTAGTTTAACATTTATGTTAGCCGCAGGAGTTTAGACCAGTATCCGTAATTGTCTTTATAGCAGTGGGTAAAGGGCTACTGCCTAGGCTAGGGTTAATTCTGGGTTCAGGCTTAGCATTAGGGCTAAATGCATATTAAGCCAAACTCGGCTGTGTGGCTCCACATATCAATAGGAATAATCTAGTCCATCAGCGCCTATTATTAAATGCCCATAGCGATAGAAACCCGCAGCATTCGTTTTAGCAAGCACAAACTCTGGACCGCCTTTGACATTCTGTGTTCTCATCAGCGGAGGTCAGGTTCGTTGCACAAATGCTACCACATTACCAGGATGTTATCGGCAAGAATACTCCACCTAATCCACGGGACCCCATTCAACGCGACAACGCAACGCAGAACACAAATTCATGACGCTTTTCCGCGAAGCTGATGAGGCCCATTCGTGGTACATGATCCCGACCTTCTGACCCGACCCTGACGGTGGCTGCAAGGCAGGTCCCTTACCCCTCATCATGATGGAGGCTCCGCACCGTCACTCGATATCCACCGCCACTCGGGTCCAGACCTCCACTCCCACCTGGAGTTGGGCCTTCTGCTGGATAAGTTGACCTTCTTAGTGGGGATGGATGGACCCTCCGTAGCTGGAGATTGTTGAGTCGGACTTTGTCCTAAAGTCGGAACCTTCTCGATTAGGAGCTTCTCAATCAGGACCTCTTTCTGGATCAAGATTGTCTGGAGCCAGACCTTCTTTGAAATGAAGATCTTCTTCGTCTTGGTGGGATGGGCCTTCTGTAGCTGGAACTTCGCCTTGCAGCCGAACCGAAATACTTCACAGCACCTTCTCCAAGATCCAAACTTTGCACTGGGGCCAGTCCTTCTCTTCAGCAGAGCCTTCTGTTTGAGTCGGACCTTCTTCTCGATGAAGACTTACTATTAGATCTGCATAGACACTCTCTTTGACACGGACCTTGCTATGTGGCCGGATCTTGTTGTGCTTTTGTCGTTTAGTCGGACCTTCCCCTAGAGCCGTAACCTTCTCGATTAGGAACTTCTCGATCAGGACCTCCAGGAGATCGGGTTCTCGATTCCAGGAACCCGTCCCTGGAATCACAGCAACTATGTATCTGTGTGTGTGGGTGTGTGGAGCAACACTGACAGAGTGTCTGCTCCGTCCTCCTTCTCAGCCGAGCTGCGGCAAGAAGGGGGGAAATGAGTGGTGGGGGAGCCAGGATCCAACTCCCGTAGGGGGGAGGGAATGGGGGGAGAGGAGGAGGAGGAGAAGGAGGAGAAGGAGGGGGGCTGCAGAATCAAACCCAACCCCCACCTCGCATTTTTGCGGGCGAGGGAGTCGAGCCACAGGAAAGGTTGTTTGGGGATGGGGGGAGAGGAGGGAGATGGAGAGATGTGAAGGAGAGAGTGGAGATTGGGGTGGGGTGGCGGATGGAAGAGAGAAAGAGAGGGGAAGAAGCGGGAGAGGAGAGGGAAGTTGTAAAGACGGAGGAGCAGAGAGAGAGGGGGAAGAGAGAGGGGAGGGAGAAGGGGGTAGAGGTGGGGGAGTGAGACAGAGCAGAGAGAGGAAATAGAGAGAGAGGAAGAGATGTGGGGGGGGGGGGGGAGAAAGGGGGGAGACATGGAGATAGTTTTTTGCAGCCTCCCACTCTCTATAAACATCTAAAACTGCTGATGAGGCAGGGTGACTGAGAGAGGTTCATCAGGGCCACGTCCGACTGTGCCAGTACCATGGAGATGCTGTAGCTTTGTCTAAAGAGCTTTGTAACGGACGTGTCTGAGATAGCCTGGGTTCCATCATACGCATCATCAGCCATGCGATATATCCACTGCTGGATGGAGGCCTCCCCCATCCCGCCGTCATTCCCCGCAGAACTCGAGATTGAACGATCCGTTTAACTCCTCCTGCACTTGAGCTAATTTCGTCTAATTTTGCAATATTTTGCTGTCTTTTCTTGGATTTTCTGTTTGCACATAGTCACTTTAAGATGTTTTCTTGTTCATGTTTTTGTTTTTTGTTGCGGTTGCACCTGATTCAAGAGCCAAATGGCTCACAGGGCTATACCGAATAAATGAAACTTGAAACTTGTCTCTCTGTCCTCCACGCTGGGCGTTTTCGACGTTCTACAAAGATATTCACAATGGCAGTGCCGGTGACTCTGCGCCAAATCCTCGCCCCCGGGGCTCTGGACCTGGGACCCTGGATCCCCTTACCCCCCCCCCCCCCGACCCTGGACACCCCCCTGATAACTCTCCCAGCCCCCCCCCCCCCTGCCCCCCACCCACCCACCGTCCCCCCAGACCCCCTTATAGTCCCGGAACGTCGGGCACCTGAACTGTGTAACCCAGCACTGCTGAGATACTGGGTCCGATCCTTGCTTTTTTATTGTCAACAAAGGCCTCCCTAATTCTAGATTTGAAGCTTTCGTGACTGCAAGGATTCATATTCTTAGGTTTTTTTTCGGTAAAGCCACGTAGGTAAAAAATTTTAATAATCAAATTAAAATTAATTTTAATTTTTTACCTACGTGACTTTACCGAAAAAACCTAAGAATATGCCTCCCTAATTATATTATATTCCTTCCTTGCCCCTGTCCAGTAGTATAACGTCCCAGTAAACATTGAACGCTGAGTCAACGGTTCCAACCGCGTGCCAACTTGGGTCCGACGTTGCATGTTTACTTGGCTCTGAGCTCTGTGATGTCGTCCCGTTGCTGCTTGACGTCTCCCCCCGCTGTCTTGCCTCGGCCTCTTTTGCCTTCTCTCGTTTTTTCCACTTTGCAGTGAATATTTTGAGGTTGGGCTGTCTCTCTGTCTCTCTCTGTCTCTCTATCTCAGCGGTTTTGTAACGGCCATGTCGGTGCATTCAAACAGCGCTACTAAAGAACTTGGATTTCAAGCTCTGGGCGTGGGTGTCGTCGCTTCAGGGACTCACACAGCGGTCGTTGTCAGCAACAGACGGCTCCAATAAAGCAAAAACTGGGGTTGAGTCAACGTTTGGGCCGCCCAAACACTTACATCGAATTTTCCACCACCATGCATGCACACGTGCATGATGCAGTCACGCTGACTGCCTTCAGCAAATCCGCACTGACCCAAGTGTGGTGAAGTATGGTCAAACAACTCCCCATGGCACCGCACAGGCGTTTGAAGGCGCTCCTCCAACAGTCGAATTGCCAACAATATCTGCACGGCATGTGTAGCGAATATATTTAAAAAAAATGCATTTAGGATTTGCAAAATGCAATGCAGCGGCATGGGTATGACAATGGAGCGGTGGTGCAGTAATTGGCGCAGTGTTCTCCGAAAACCCGTCGACCCGAGTTGGTTTACTCTTTGGTTCTTTCGGTAAAGTGACGTATAAAGATAAAATAATAAATTAAATAATAGCATACGACGTTTCGATTGCAACACAAGCAATCATCATCAGGTATAAATGAAATAGCAACAAAAATCTAATCAGAAAACTATAGACAGACATATAAGCAGACATATCACCAAGATACATAGAGAGAGAGAGTAACACATAGGCTATAAGCAGACAGATATCACCAAGATACAGACAGATATCACCGAGTTGGATTCCCAACCACGGCTAACATCAGTGACTAGCTTAGAGTGTATCTGAGCCTTCCCATCACCAACCCGAACTGTCCAGCGTGGTGAAGTATGGTCGAACATGGAGTGACAAAAGCACCCACGTGCCACCGACATAATGATAATAATTGTGCGGTGTGTAACGCGCTGCACGATATGTCACAGGCGTGATGAATTACAGCGGCTCTGATGTGCGGAAGAGCCAAACTCAGTGCGGCTCAAAAGCCAAACGAAAGAGATGACCTCTTTAGAAAGATGTGTTTTTTTTAAGAGGTGACCTTTAAGAAAGAGGTGGTCTTTAAGAAATAGGTGGGGACTTTAATAAAGAGGTTTTCTTTAAATAGGTGACATTTAAGAAATAGGTAGGATCTTTAAGGAAGAGGTGGCGTTTCAGAAAAAGATCACATTTAAGGAAGAGGTGGGGCCTTTAAGGAAGAGGTGGTCTTTAAGAGGTGCCCTTTAAGAAAGAGGTGGGGCCTTCAAGAAAGTGGTGGGACCTTTAAGGAAGAGGTGTCTTTAAGAAATAGGTGAAGACTTTAATAAAGAGGTTTTCTTTAAAGAGTTGACATTTAAGAAATAGGTAGGATCTTTAAGAGTTGCCCTTTAAGAAAGAGGTGGGACCTTTAAGGAAGAGTTGATCTTTAAGAAGAGATGACCTTTAAGTAAGAGGTAGGTGGCTTTAAGAGGTATAAATTATTATCAGATAGGGGCGGGTGAGCTTAATGTGTTATGTGCTATGAAGAAGGGACATTGCTCGATACGTCGCCTGTTATATGTTTCTTTCTATTCAGGCCAAACAGTGTTGTTATTGACACGGTCGAGTATTGAGTTTCTCTTGTTTATTGTGACTGCACCACACTGCCAACACAGCAGCAGTAGCAGCGGCGTCGCCAGATGTTGCTAGAGACCAAATCCAACGCCATTTCGTGTTAGGAGAGAGACCATTCGCGTGGAATTTTCTACGTTTTGCAGCATTGCATTGTCCAAAAGCACCGTTCCGTATTTGAGTCGATATGTTGATAAGTAAGAGTGGTGGCAAAAGGGTCCCATAGATATAACTTCTTAATGGGAGATATTATTGATTTGTTTCAGTTTGCGTTGTCCTTGTGCTGCGCTGTTTTTGTCGAGCACTGGTGAGACAAAGCCATCAGAGAGTATGTCTCTAGTAGTGCAGCCCATCAAAGCACATTTGCATTTTTGTTACACAAATGTGATTAGTTCTAGATTTGAAGTTTTCGTGACTTGCAAGGATTCATACTCTTTGGTTATTTTGGTAAAGTCACGTAGGTGAAAAATAAATAAATAAAAAGATTAAAACTACTACATTTTGTTCAATTTAGATGTTAAGCTTTCGTGACTGCAGGGATTCATATTCTTGGTTCTTTCGGTAAAGTCACGTAGAAGGGAAATAATAAAATAATATAAAGATTAAAAATATACAAATTCTCACGACGTTTCGACTGCAACACAAGCAACCATCATCAGGTGTTGCAGTCGAAACGTCGTGAGAATTTTTGTTTCATATTTATATTATTTTATTATTTCCCTTCTACGTGACTTTACCGAAAGAACCAAGAATATAATTTTTTATTTATTTTCACCTACTACGTGACTTTACCGAAAGAACCAAAGAGTATGTGATTAATGTTGACTTGATGTCTTAAAATAGGTATTTATTTGTTGTTTGAACATCTTAAAACCTCCTGTATTTATGCCAGATAGGGTAAACCATTTTTTATGTTTATCATTCACTTCAGTGTAAAACTTAACAAGTGAGGGAAAACACTGAAGCCTGGACTACTGTCAGTCCCTCCAGAAAAACGCGATTATGCGATCGCAAGATTCCACGCAAAATCAGCCAAAGTCCGCATATTTATGCGGGGGGCGCGTTTTTTCAAATACGCCGCACTTTCGCCGCATAAATTGCAGATTTCCGCGCGCAAAATATGCGGGCTTGCATGATTTCATAATCCCCGCATTTTCGTTGCAAAAAGTCACATATATCTTAGCAGAAAGTTGAAAAATGTTGCGTTCACTTCACACAAGCGCAGCCATTTCCCCTGTTGCCATGGAAACGTTATGAAGTGTTAGAGGCTACGTAGTTAGTTTTATTCAGGAGTTTATGCAACTTTACAGTTGTAAGATTGCACTTTTTTGTTAGTAGTATGTAAATTTACATTACTGTAAGACTGTACTGTTACTGTTTTGCTTACGTTACTGTGCACTGAAAACACTTATTTTAACAGAAGATGTCTGTTTTGTATAGCTACCTCTGTAAAACAGGAAGCACACATTTTATTTTTTAATATTTTATTTATTCATTTTTACAGAAGTTGTAGCATATTCATTTTGTAAAGCTACAGAACTTGTTCGACTCAATGTTTTGTAAGTTTGAGCCATCTGTTTGTTAAGGTCTGAAATAAAACAAGATGAGAACTTAAATATTCCCAGCACTTTCTGTGATGTAGTATGCTTGCTTATCATAGGAAGTAATAAGAAATGACTCTTTACATTAAAGTAGTAGCCTAGTGAATAGGGTGTTGGGGGAATCACTTTTTTTTTCTCTTTTTCATCAAACCGCAGTTTTTGCAAGTTCCCGCAATTTTTGCAAGTTTCCGCAATTTAATCGCATAAAATTGCATAAATATCCCGCATATTACATCGCATTTTTTAAGAAAACGTGCCGCATAATCAAGGATTTTTGCCCGCAACAATTACCAAAAAACTCCGCGTTTTTCTGGAGGGACTGTACTGTGCATCTGTGAAAAAATAGCTTTATAGCTGGTCGG